CCCCAGAGGGAACGGCCTCCGAGCCGCCATAAACTTTTGATGTGGCCCAGATCCACCACACATGTGGGACATGAGCTCACTTAACGAACGCAGACGCTTTGCAACAGCCGCAGTGTGGTACTGCAATTTGATATTGGTATTTTCAGTAGGACAGAGAGAGAAAGTAGGAAGAAGGGGAACAGAGTGAGAGTGGGAAAGGAAAAAAAAAGAACTAAATAAAAAAATATTGGCATCTAAACCTTATCCTCTCCTCTTTTTTCTGAAGCTGCCAGTTCTAACCAGTCGGATGTTTTATCTCGGCCCACAGTGTGCCCGGACGGCTTTTACGGTCTTGACTGTGGCCAGATGTGCGAGTGCAGGAACGGTGCCCGTTGCCACCACATCACAGGAGCCTGCCTGTGCACCGCCGGCTGGGCAGGACCACACTGCATTCTGGGTAATGGAAGCCACATCATTAAAACAGGGTGTGAGGGAGGCCCTCACTGCAGCCCATCACGACATCCTCTCCTTAAACTCAGCTATGAAGTGTTTGTGAACAATTATCTCTATAATGAGACATTGCCAATGACTTTTTTAGGGATGGGTAAGGGTGGAGAAAGGAGGGAGCGCAAGAGTGCCCTCTGGCATACATGGTTTAATTGAAGTCTATTCTGGATAAATGCACCCACATGTATATAGCGATCAACATTAGGAAAGGGAGAGCTCAACTTGGAAGAGACTTTAGCAGCTAACCAGTGTTCTCAGGCTGAAGTTTCTTGAGGATTTCATGCCATTGTTTTAATGAAGCCAGTGAAATACCCACTAAAGTCCTTAGTCTGTCATTCTGCAGTCTTATTCAAGACTTTCCTCTCGCCCACAGCCATTTTGTGGTTCTAACTACCAGAACCAGAGTGAGCAGAAAGCCACGAGCATGACTTAATCATGCACCTCTGTCATTATTGCATTTTCCTCTTTCTTAAACCCCAAATGCCATCTTGGACTTTGATTATTACTGCGTTTACAATATGGGTGCTAAAAACCATAATGTCTCAAATGACCAATTAGCTCTCACGTCTGTTTTCTAGGAATGCAACTTGAATATTATTGAATGTGTGTGTGTGCCTGCATGTGTGTGGCAGAATGCCCAGAGGGTCAGTTTGGAGAGCAATGCAGTCAGACCTGTGAGTGTCAGAACGGAGGTCAGTGTAACCATGTGACTGGGAGATGCAGCTGCACAGCTGGGTGGACCGGAGATAGGTGCCAACTGCGTGAGTGGCTCATCAGTTAAACTGCTAATTACTGAGCATGATGACCGTAATGTCAAAGAAGTCTATTTTTCAAACCACTGTGCTGTGTTGTAGAACTTTTTGGCAGTATAAATATCAGTCAGCAGACTCTGAAAACCGACGTTAGTCATGTTATCTATCTCGGGAATCTCTTGGCGCAGTTACTGCACTTGCAGAAATGACCTCATGATATAAGAAAGGCTAGAAAAATATAATAGAACGTTTGCAGTCAAAACTCAAATGCTTATACTATGTTGTGTGTATTCAGCCTGTCCTGCAGGACGATATGGAGGGCACTGTTCAAGTCAATGTCTGTGTCAAAATGGAGGGACTTGTAACAGGATCAGTGGCCGGTGCTCCTGCCCACTGGGATGGACTGGAGCAGCTTGCGAATTGGGTGAGTCTGACAGTACTATGGATTAAACTCTGTTTTTTACAACTTTTCAGCTGCCAGTTAATGCAAATATCTAATCAGCCAATCACATGGCAGTAACTCATTCCATTTAAGGATGTAGACATGGTGAAGACCACCTGCTAAAGTTCAAACTGAGCATCAGAATGGAGATGAAAGGTTTAAGCAGCGTTAAACGTGGTTGTGGGTGCCAGATGGGCTGGTTTGAGAATTTCAGAATCTGCTGATCTGCTGGGATTTTCCCACACAACCATCTCTATTGTTTACAGAGAAAGGCAAGAAAAAGAGACAATATCCAATGAGAGGCAGTTGTCTGGGAAAAAATGTCTTGATGATTTTAAAGGTCAGAGGAGAAGGGCCAGACCACTTCAAGCTGACAGGAACGCAACATTAACTCAAGTAACCACTCATTATAACCAAGGAAGGCAGGAGAGCATCTCTGAACAAACAACATATCAAACCTTGAAGCAGATGCACTCCAGTAATAATAATGGATTGCATTTATACAGCGCTTTTCGGGGCCCTCAAAGCACTTTACAGTTCCACTATTCATTCACTCTCACACACTGGTGGAGGCAAGCTACAGTTGTAGCCACAGCTGCCCTGGGGCAGACTGACAGAAGCAAGGCTGCCAGGTCGCACCATCGGCCCCTCTGGTCATCACCAGAGGGTGTCTTGCCCAAGGACACAACGACCGAGACTGTCCGAGCCAGCTCGAACCGGCAACCTTCCGATTACAAGACGAACTGCCAACTCTTGAGCCACGATCGCCCAGTAGCAGAAGAGCACACCAGGTCTTCTGCTACTGGGCGCCAGGTGTGACAAGCTACAAAACAGTAAACTGAAGTTACAGTTCAGTAAGGTTAACCAGAATTAGAAACTGAATATTTGAAAAACTATGATGGGCCTTGATTTCTGCTGCAACATTCAAATAGGACATTGTATCGCCTTGTATCAGCAGTTCAGGCTGGTGTTGTTGGGATACTTTATTGGTCCCTTCGTACCAACTGAGCATTGTTTAAACACCACAGCCTTCAATGCTTTCATTCCCTTTGTGACCAGTTTGTGTACTTTCTGATGTCTTCTTCCACAGCAGGAGAAAGTGCCATATCACAAAACTCCATCATCTCAAACTGGTTTCTTGAACATGACAGTGAGTTCACTGTACTCAAATGACCTCCCCAGTCACTGGATCTCAATCCAACAGAGTACCTTTGGGATGTGGAACGGGACATTGACATCATGGATGTGCAGCTGACAAATCTGCAGCAACTGTGTCATGTCAGTGTGGATCACAATCTCTGAGGAATGTTTCCAGCAACTTATTGAATCTATGTGGTGAAACAGGCAGTTCTGTAGGCAACCGGAAAGTCCAACTCACTGCTCAAAAGGTGTATGTAATAGGGGGATAGTGAATGCACATTGTAGGGAAGCTATAAGAAACAAAAGTTTTTTTTTTCTTGATTAAATATTTTGTCTTTCTGTCCCTGTCTTCATAATTTGGTGCCTTGGAAAAGCCATGTTGTATTTGTGTGATAAATTATTACTTGAATGTAACTTTTCTCTTAACCTTCCTTTCCATCTGTCCCAGAGTGTGAAGAAGGACGTTATGGAAAGAACTGCACCGAGGTCTGCCGCTGTATGAATGGAAGGAGATGCGACAGAGTGACAGGAAAATGTGTGTGTCTCCATGGTTGGACAGGAGACCTCTGCCAGTCAGGTGATTTCCTATACTTACAGCATAGTTGTTTTATCATAATCTACTACCTGCTGATGCGGGTTTTTTTTCAAAGACACATAAAATTGTAGCCTGTCTCTCAACATCATGAGAGACAGGCATGCCCCTGTGCTCCATTTGTTAACATTTGGATATCAGCAGCAGAAAGGTTTGTTTACTCCAGGAAAAGAAGCCGATAGCTTATAACATGGTATGTCAAAACAGTTTGTGCAGTTAGCCTTCCAAGCATATAAAAGGTAAACATCTTCTAAAAGTGCATCCTTGGCTGCGATGTTGCATGCTAACCGCAAGCGCTTGTGTTTTTTGTCTGAAGCCTGTTCTAAGGGATTCTTCGGGGAGGGTTGTGAGCAGAGGTGTGACTGTGCCCATAGTTCGAGTTGCCACCATGTGACAGGCCGCTGTGAGTGCGTGCCAGGCTGGAGAGGAGCCAGGTGTGACAAATGTGAGTGCGTACAGGACTGAGGAAATTGCGGCTGAATGAAACTGGCACTAAAGAACATAAGAGTGAAGTGACTGTGTGTGTGATGTGTGTATTGACTGACAGCCTGCCTCCCGGGGTTCTACGGTGCTTCCTGTGCCCAGCGGTGTCAGTGCCAGGCTGGAGTGTCCTGTCACCATGAGACGGGGAGCTGTGGCTGCCCAGCTGGACTCACAGGGGCTGGCTGCGAGAAAAGTAAGAAGGAAAACAAAACCTGTCTGAATGAATTCTAATCATGAGGTGATTAGTGGCTTGCTTGCTCAATTTTTAGATCTTAAATATCCACAGACTTTCACTAATGTCCTTTACCTGTAACAGGTAGTCAGGAGAGTATACCTACATGGCTTACATTTGAGGCCATTTAGCTACCTTGTTGATAAAAACACTGTCGCCTTGAAACAAACCAATTGTGTGCTTGTGAGAATGTTTCATTATTCAAACCGTACCCTTAAGGAGTGTATATAAGCAGCGTCCCTCCTCAGCCCTTCACTGCGCCTTCTACTCACCCACCCTCCTCCCCTTCCTTACGGCCTCAGCTCCGTTCCTCTCCTCACACACTCCCCAGACATCTGATAAATGTTACACACCGGTTGCCAAGTAAAACAGAAGGCATTGTTTTTGTCTCCTCGGCGGCGGATAAGGGCTTTTGGAAGGCAGACATGCATAATGACAGCACCGTAATTGCCTCTTTAGTCTGGAGTCCTTTCTTATCTGTCCCCCACGCTGCCTGCTGCTGCCTGACTGAGTAGCTTAGTGCTGCGGTCTCACCCGAAAACATGCTCGGTTCACAGATTCATCTTGTTCCCTATGACTGATTGTCTGGGGACTTCATTCATTATTGTGATGAGCGCATATGTATGTATGCAGACAGGGTGTGTGAAAGAATGTCCCTCTGTGTTTGCCTGGGTTTGGGCACCAGGGAAAGTTGCTGCGAGTTTTGGTGTCATTAGCAGTCAATACTGAATGTCCCAGTATGTTCGCAGGATAATCTGAGGAAGGAAAGGGAAACGGCATGCGTCTTTGTTCCCACATACTATTGAATGTGTGCATAAAGGCCTTATCTGCTGCCGTATCACCAGCACTATGGTTTCTTTTCGGGTGTGCAATGCCCATCAGGGTTAACAATGAAAAATTAAGACTGCATTTGAGGCTCATTCCTTTTCATTTTTATTTATTTTATTTATATCCAGAAATATGTATCTTCTTTTAACAAAGCTTTAATTAACACACACGTTTTAGGCTATAAATTAACAATAGGATTTTCGAAAGCTTACTAATTAACATGCTTTTAAACTGCACTGCAGCCCCAAACGTCTTTAGATATTACCAATGGTAGGTTCAGGTCAGAAGGCAAATACCCGACACAGCTACCTGTAAGCACCCCAGCACAAAGTTCATTTTAGGTCTTTTTACACTGATTCACAACCTGCTGCGCACTCTTCTTCAGGCAGCACTCATTCCTAAATCAGTATCAGTATTTCCATTGGTAAGAACACCGCCGACTCAACCCACCTCAATCTCTGTGCTCCATTTGACGCTTTGAGAGCTTCAGACAAACAAAAAATCAGAATATATATTTACACACAAACATATATATATATTATAAAGATATTAAATTATAAGCATAATACAATACCACTGTCTTTGATCCAGCTATGAGAGGTTAGTTGTTCAGCTGACCTGTGCATCAAAGATTTATCATTCACCTTTGAACAAAGAAGGTAAATGATCCCAAAAATTGCTTCTTACATTCTTCTGTTGTGCTAATGTGCGTGATGTGCTGCCGGTTTGATCATTTTAGCCTGCCCTGCTGGAGTGTTCGGACAAAACTGCACCAAGCTGTGCCAGTGTTCAGGAGACCAAGCGCAGTGCCATCCGGTGACGGGGAAATGTAGCTGCTTGCCCGGTTATTATGGGCCGCGATGTGGGCTAAGTAAGTATACTGTTAATCTTCTGTTGCAACCACTGGCTAATAAGACGCACCTGCTATTATCCATTTATTTATTTAGTTTTTAATAAAACAGGAAGTCTAATGAAATAACTATTGCTGCGGAGTACATATTTGGCTACACTTTAGATTTGCATGACTCAATGATATGTTTAATTTAAGCTAGTAATAGTTTTGTGTGTCTGGTTTTTCTGTAGGATGTAGAGCGGGGACTTTTGGGCCGAACTGCAAGTCCAGGTGCAGCTGCATCAATGGTGGTCGCTGTGACTTCAGGACTGGTTCCTGCTACTGTCCTCCTGGCTTCATAGGCAGCGACTGCAGCTCAAGTAAGTCAAGAAAGTTTGAATGTCCTTGTCCTCTAATAAAAGTCATATTTGCGAGTCATATTTCTGCCTACTTATACTTATAGCTTGATTAGAGTCACAGTCTTTCTTTTACCCTGTCACCTTCCCCTCACTCCCAACCAGTTGCGGCAGATGGCTGCCCTACCTGAGCCTTGTTCTACTGGGGGGGTTTTCCTGCTACAAGGGAGTTTTTCCTTCCCACTGTCACCAAGTGACAAACCTTGATTTTCTCTGCATTATTGTAGGGTCTTTATCTTACAATATAAAGTGCCTTGAGGTCAATGTTGTTTTGATTCAGTCCTATATAAATAAAATTGAATCTAACTGGATTGATTTAGAGACTTTTTTGATACAACCATTCTTTATGTTGCGTTACAAAATTCTGGTCGACATCAACTGAAGTAATGCAGATGCCTGTAAAATTAATACATGCATAGTTTTTAATTTGTTCTTTCATATGGATGAAAGCATATCTATTCATGCAGGTTGTCCAAGTGGATACTATGGGAAAGACTGTGCTAAGATGAGCACGTGTGGGGAAGTTGGACAGTGTCACCCAGTAACCGGGAGGTGTATCTGTGGCCCTGGTAGGATGGGATTGTCCTGCGAGCAAGGTAACGTTAAACTGAGGATGTTTATTTGCAGTATATTAGTGCAAAATTATATATTTGCAGAATTTTAGATGCAAAGTGGCAAGAACAGTGCTGCACATCAGAGAATGATATTCAAAGAACTACAAGAGTAGTTTCAAGACTGACTCTAAACAGGATGCATACTGGCTCATTTAACATTTTGCAGCAGCTTTAAAGCAAGAAGAAATGACTGCTAGATTACAAGTGTCACCTCGCTGTTCAACTTTAAGCAGAACCATATCACACATATCAAACAGGCTTTATATTTAGACATTTTTCTTTTACAATCCTCTCGAGTTTACAGAGAGTCACCACTGAGACTGCCATGCATCATTAGGAACCACTGGCTCTAATGAGTTCTTTAGAAACAGGACACTTAACTAGAAATGAGAAACAACCACTAAAATGAGGGTGTAGTTTTCAACATTTTCCCTGTGTATTTAAGTTACAAATTCTCCATTTCCTCAGTGTAAGCGCTGCGATGATCACAGGGCTTTTATTCCCACTAAACAGAGGCAGAGCTGAGTTTTCTTAATCTCTCCTTTTATCAGCAATTCAGCTGGATTGCAAACGGGGAATTTCCAGCGCTGCCTGCACTAAATGTTCTCGTCTTCAGCCTCCTGCATGTACTTGGACATACCACCTCTTAAGTTCCTCTTGTTGAATGTTTACATAAACCTAAAGTGGCTCATTCTCTGTGTTCCGTGTCGCTGGATTTGGCAAGGAAGCAAATAAATAAACAGGGGAATCAAAGACGGCTTGCTTATTGTTTTCCCAATCTAAATTACCCAGAGAAACATGATTATTCTTTTATATCAGCGCCAAATTAGGCTACTTTGCCATCTCTTTAGAAACTGTTGCTTAAATAAACACGAGCGTGGTTAGTGCAGTCGCGTTTGTGTGTGTGTGCGCGCGCGCGTGTGTGAAAGAGACAAGGGAAAGCGCGAGCTGTGCACTGTGTGTGTTTTATGTTTGGTGCAACCACTAGTGCTTTTGCTGAACAGAAGAGTTCTTGTGTATTATGATGTTTCCTGAAAATTGTTTCTCCAGTGTGTCCCAGGGGGCGCTATGGCATGCAGTGCAGAAACGCTTGCAGCTGTCTGAACGGGGCTTTGTGTGACCCCAGTGATGGGTCCTGTAAGTGTGGCCTCGGCTGGACTGGACCCCGCTGTGAGACAGGTACTCCAGATATTCTACAATAAAAAAAATCCTAAACTCAGCAGAATTTGATTGTGGTCATTTCAAATTAAAAGCCAACAACAAACTTTATATTGCAGTAGTTTGCAGTAGTTTCCCCATTATTAGCTACATGATGGACTTCAGTCTGCATTTATGAAGAAGACATTTTCCCCAGTTTTAATGTTTTCAGTGTTTAATGTTTGATGCACACATTTTTTACTTTTTTACTCCAATAATCATCACTCAGGCTTATATGTCACATTTCTTTCTAGTGTTATCAACCCATTGTGTGTGTCTGTGTGTGTAGCCTGTCCACAGGGAAAATATGGGCTTGATTGTGCACAAGACTGTCCATGCCTCAACAATGGGACCTGCGACCGCTTCACTGGCAGCTGCAGCTGTACTGCAGGATACTACGGCCACTCCTGTCAACACAGTATGCAAACCCTCACTCGAAATAAAGAAAAGAAAACTTGGTTATAAGGTTACTAGAAGTCCCGTTGACATTATGAAATGTAGATCTTTTTCAAACTCCCCTGGTCACATAGAAGACTGAATGAATCCAGATAAAACACTTTTTTAACCAACCTAAATCCTCTGTCTTGTGTTCCTCCCAGCGTGCCCATCTGGGTTTTTTGGAGTGAATTGCGCACACACCTGCGTTTGTAAGGTGCTGCAAGCGTGCGATCCTGTGACAGGCAAATGTGCGTGTCCACCGGGCTACCATGGCTCACAGTGCCAAAGACGTAAGTATGTTACATGCAACTACATGGGAGTAAAGGTTAAACGAGTAACAAAGAGGGATATTTGTAATTCAGCATGTCTGCGAAGACTTAAAACACAGCAGTGCTCACAGTCACATGTTTGTGCTCATTGTTAAATGGCCACCTGGATAGCCAGCTGCGACTGTACATGGGGAGATATGAGCATGAATGAATGAGAGACTTCCAGCAAAATGTGAGTGTGTGGTGGCTGGCAGACAGGCTGTTAGGTAGGTGGGCAGGCAGGCTGGTTATTTGATGAGAGACGGGTGTTTCCCTACTGCTTAATGCATTCTTGTTACATCCTCATGCCCTCCTGCAAGCTTGTGGGGCTCTCAGCCCCAGTTTGAGTGCCTTAATGGCCACTTCAGTACCAGCAGGAGATAGGACTGAGCACTGAAGAGCAGCTAGAAGGTAGAAGGACACCGACCTGGATCGATCAGGGTGTTTGTGTCTATCTGAGAAAATGTTTATGCACAGTTTCTTATAACTAAATGCTGTTGTTAGTATGTGAATCCATTCATTTCCATTAAATGTATATTTGCATGTGTGCTAAGAACTAAATTTCAATTTCCAAAATGTTTATTAAATGTGTTAATCGTCATCTTGTTCTAAAAGGGATTATGTTAAAAAAAAGGATATTTTTACGTATACACGTGTTATCAACTACTTACAGCAGGTTTCAGTGCACTCCCAGGCTATTCATGTCTAATGAAGCAGTTTCCGTGTAGTTAAAGAAGAACTTGAATGATCATTACTGCATTTTTCAAAGTATGCGTGTGAATGTTTCTGTTTTTTCTTCTCAGGATGTGAGGCTGGCAGCTTTGGACCGAACTGTGAAAGATCATGTGACTGTGCTGGCGAGGCCCCATGTGACCCATCGACAGGACGCTGTCTCTGTCCCCCAGGAAGAACGGGGCACAGATGTGAAAAAAGTAGATATTACTTTTATTAACATGATTCACTTAAATCCAAAATAGATATTAAAAAAAGATCACTTAGGGTGTCTTGCGTCAAGTCTTTCCTTTCTTTAAATTTCCTCATTTCTTTCACTGTGCCTTTTTTTTTTTTCTCAGCCTGTGACGAAGACCGTTTTGGCCCTGAGTGCTCCCTGCTGTGTCGCTGTTCTGACAGGGCCCGCTGTGATAGGGTGAATGGACGTTGCCTGTGCCCGCTCACCTGGCTTGGCCCTTCATGTAGTGAAGGTAAACACACGAAGAAAATAGATACTTGCACTATGAGACGCATAGTGCAAGTATCTAAAAGACTTGAGCAACCTCTAATTTTTGCATATGTGTGGAAGTAAATGGGAAATAGGTGGAGGAATTTATTGAAGTCTGCAAACATACATGGAAATACAGCATACAAGGCAAAATACAAGTAGTCTTCAGGAATAGTTCTTCAGGCTTCTTGAAGGACATTCAAAGCTCTTCTTTGGATGTCGTCTGCCTTTTGTTCTCTGTCAAGATGATCACGCACTGCTTCAATAATGATGAGGTTCAGGCTCTGGGGAGGCCAATCCATCAATGATTGTGTTGCACTGTGTGCTTTTACTGCATTATAAGTGTGTCTGGGATCATTGTCATATTGAAAAGCCATTGTCAATCAGATCATTTTCAGATGGTATTGAATGGTGGATCAAACTCTGATGTAATCTGATGATCATTACATCACTTTTAAAATGATTTGGTTTTAGGCCTTCCACTTCTTCGTTTTGTCTTCCATTTGTCAAGTTTCCTCATTTTTTTTAGGATAGATTGCATAATATATATTGCATGATATATCTCATATCACGCTTTTATCTATGAAACTCATGGGAACCACCTTGGTGGTACAAAAATACTATGTTATGTCTGTCAAACTGTCTATTGCATTTTTTGTAGATTCAGTTAAATAAGAGGGAACAAAGCTGCTAGTAGCAAAGGGCCTGAAAATACAGTTCAAAATTAGTTCTCTGCTAAGTTGTCTGTTATATCGCAAAACAAAAAAAAGAAAGAAAAAACATTCCTCTAATATTGATCAGGCACAAGAATTGGAATTAAAAAGACTGAAAAATTAGCCAATGAATGAAAATGTTTTTGAAAGACCTTCAGAAAGCCTGGGGAACTATCAAGACTACTTAAAATCACAGGAAAGTACAATATAAAGAAATGAGGTGTGACTCAAGACTTTTGCACAGTATTGTAGACACAGACAACCATGTATCATTACATGAGAGGACTACAGATTATCTGCCTAACCTCTATCATCATTTAACCTTAAAGAGTGTCCTCCCCTTTCAAATTAACAATTCACATTGTGAGCACTGACTTTCTGTCCCCTTTTGGGAGACACCAACCCATAATGTGTCTCTGTAAATCCACTCAAGTCCCCACAACATGACTAATACCTGACCACACACACGCACACACTCGCACACACAGAAAACATAGACACCCAGGGTCAAGGGCTGTAAAGCTGAACCAGCTTTAGTGAAATACTGTGTCATGAAGTGTGAGAGGCTGAGCCCCATCACTCTGTGTGTCACCCTGTCTCTCTCAATAGCTGCTCCCGTCTCCTGACAGTTATTTTAATCTGCACCCAGCATGAAGCCAGTCTTGAAGCTGTCTTCATTTTACCTCCTCAAAGCCAAGCGCACGGGGAGACTACGTAGCAGTAACTTCTCCTCCAAAATCCCCAGAACATTTGCTTTTGATTTGCAAATAGTGCTGATGTCTTCTTGCCTCTTTTTTTCTTTTCAGCACCGCTCCACCAAACCCCGGGAGTGCTGAACTTCTCTGTGTCCCAAAGAAAGAGAAGAACAGGCAGCAAAACCACATAACCCAAGCAGAGGTACAAACATCTGACTGGGTGTTCAAACACAGGACTTGGCTCAGTGAAGCATTACTCAGATCATCTCGGTAAAGGTAATGCTGGTGTTAATATGTTCGCTCAAACTTGTAGTCGGCTGTCAGAAACTGGCACTCAATCACCAAATCCCAAGCTCGGGGGCGATTAACTAGTGGACCTGGCATGTGAGAGGCCTTCAAAGGAGCATGAACTCAAACGTACCCAGTCAATCTAAAATTAAAAGTTCAGAGTTACACAAGCTTCTTAGCAATACGCACACACACACACACACACACACACACACACACACACACACACACACACACACACACACACACACACACACACACACACAAACAAACAAATACCTGAATTACATTTGTTACTGACACGAGATTCTTTTCATCCACTGCCACTTTTTTTATGTGGGTGTCCATAAAAGGCTTAATGTTTAGTGTAAAAGAATGCCAAGCATATATCTATGTAAAAATAAAAATGTATGAAACAGATTTAGAAATACCGGGGCAGCTTGTTTACTTATTTTAAAACACAAAAGATGAACACACACAGAAAAAGTCAACGCGAGACACAAAAATATGGTCCAAAAGTGAAAAAATAGAATATTTTATGTGCACCAAAGTGGCCTGTTAAATGCTGGAAAGAGTCTCACAGTGGTGCTTGCACTTTTCAGATACATTTTTTGCATTTTAATGTTAACGCTTTTCCCTCTGAAAAGAATGAAGATCAGATAACCAGTTCATTTGTGAAGAAGCTGGCTCTGGGACACAATAATGGCCCAATATTCGTCTCAACTCACTTTAAGGTTAAGTTTGGCTTGACCAAATTTAATTTCCCTGCAATTCAAACACTCAATTTATTAGCGCTGACCACAGGTTTTCCTGGTGCAGTGCTGGTCACGAGTCATTACATTTAAACTTCTTTCAGATTTGTGTTCGCCGAGTGAGCTGCTGACACAGAGGTGGGCAATTTTACAAAAAACCCCCCAAAAAACAACAACAAAAGAAAATGTTACTGCACTTTTCTCTGGACTTACAGTAGTAGAAACTCATTTCCCCCTTTCACTACTGCACTACTTTTACAAGACATTTTATCTCGATTGGTGTTCGTCTGTTTTTATTTTTTGTAAAAAACTGTATTTGTATTATATCTCAGGTCGGTGCCAGTTGTATCACTCGTAACCCTACTGTGCTCATTTCCTGGCATATCAGTGGTGCTACATTGTTTAAAAGAGAAGATACATTTGATTTATCAGCCAGTTAGTATGTTTCATTTTGTCATCTGTGACAGTGCCGTGAACCAAATAAATAACAACAAACACATCTGTGGACATTTCCTTTAACTAACCATCTATTTTTTTTGTAATGTGTGCTATGAACGCAGCGTTGCATGGTATTGATTTTTGTGATCCCTAAGTTGTGTGGGCTGGGGGTTTGGGGGTGGGGGGGCAATAAGGTATGGGTGGAGGTTTCAGCTGTCATTGAGAGCTATGGGATCATGTGGCTCTTAGTGTGTTTGTGTGTGTCAGTGTGCAAATTTGAGCAAGGCAACTACCAGACATCTCTCATCATCAGCCTGGGCAGGGTCAAGCATTAAGGCCATGCCTGCCTTCCTGATAGTAAACGGTGGGTTACCTGAGCTGAGTGTTAAGGTGTGTGTGTGTGTGTGTGTGTGTGTCAGCATCAGAGAGCAAGTGCACTCTCCCTGAGGCATTTTTCATGTCCACTGGAGCGCTTTCTCTCCCGTTGGCCAACGGCGGCTGTGGTCCGGCACAGGCGGGCAGGTGCCTGGACCATACATGCACCCTATATCCAGGACGTCCTGGGTTGAGTGATGGGTGAGCGAGCTCAGTACCAGGGGACTCTCCCCCCACCCCACCCCAAACACTCACTCTCCAGTGAGGCTGATGGATGGCGGCGCGCTCCTGCTCGCCCCATGTTGTGACAAGCAGCAGATGTTCTCCAATAATGTTTATCGGCTGGGCCTTCATCTTCAGATGACACACACCTGTTTCCAGTCAAACACGCCCAGAGAGGCCATCCATCCACCGAGCTCTGGGTGGCCGCTGCACCACCGTATCAGCCTCTCCACAGCAGCACGCTGGGCGAGTAGCACCGTAAATAAGGGACTGGCATGGCAAAATATCTAATCTAAATGGCTACAAACAAGAGATGCTTACCACGCTGTTGTGCAGAGGCTTGGCTCTTCTAGTACTGATACTGCATTGATACAGTATGTTTCAGCGTCCTTGTTTTTTTGTTTTGGTTTTCTTTTGCATGATTTGAGATATGAAAAGCTTTTTGAGAGTGCCAGAATTTCAAAGGACACTTTTGTTTCATTGCAAGTAAATGAATAAAGCATGGCCTTTGTGCAGAAAGACTTTACGAGCGAACACAAAATGCCCCACTGTTGCACGCATGCTGGCTTATCAGGGAGCGAGAAAAAGAGAGGGCTGGAGGAAACTGTCGATGAAATAGCCCGTAAAAGGTAAGATCGCATCATGGGTACTTTTTCGCTGTAATTAAACATACGCCACTCTTTGCAAGAGAGATTCTATCACTTTGCTGCCATAGCTTCACGTCCCAGAGATAATTTCTGCCCCTCTGCGTTGAACCAGATCTCCCAGAAGGCCACAGTGTTTTGAACTCCAGCTGACAAAGCTGTCTGCTCAGATAAAAGAGTGAAGGGGAAATCATTTCAACACGTCCTGCACCATTTGTTTGGTTGCTGCCTGAAAAAATAAATCTTAAATGTCGGGGATGTAAAAAAGATTTGTATCAAGAAACTCTCCCACACTCTGGGGGCGCGTGGTGTAAAGAGCGTATCTTTGGTTTAGACATGTCGGCTTGTTTGACTACAAGCCTGAAGAAAGGTTGACTCTTTTTTTTTTTTTTTTTTTTTTTTGTCTTTCAGCAGAATTTATGTTATCACTTGCTCTAACTAGACACTCACTATATTTGAAGTTTATTTAATTAACTGGGAGAGTTTTTAAACCCAAATTTTGCAGGTAGGTGCACATTGCTACTTCCACCACTGGGGGGAGCTCAGCACAGAAAAGAACTTTGACAGAACTCTGATTCAAGTGAGTGCACATAAATGAATGGATCATGCTGTATGCTAATTAATGTCAGCATATATTGTCAATTTTGTGCTACAAACATTTTATGTTTAAGTGACTCCAGAAGTACCAAAACCAAAATATGCATGCCCAGTCCTTCAACAATGGAGCCGATAGCCTCTAATCTAATCCATGAGCAAGAGAGGAGATGATTTCAATAGCAGGCCTCAAGTGGTTCTGCCACCACGCCTATCCTGATTAGACTCGTCATATTAAAACCATGTGCACGGCTGGGCTGCTTTGTCTCGGTCTGTTCCTCGGGACTCTACTGAGTGTCCATCAATAACACTAATGGCCCGTAGCCTCCAGGGAGAAAAACGAACAGCGTAATGAAACCACAACCTTAAACTCTGCTGCTTTCCAAGAGAGAAGAAGAAGAACAAGTAGTGAGGAATTGGTTTGGTTGTCCTGTACACACATGGGACATAGACAGAGGACGCGCTACCGTAACTGTAAACACAACAGAAAGTTGATGAGGTGGTTTGCGGTGTCTCCCCACTCAAACACACACACAAGCACACACTCAGAAACACACTTTGGCCAGCTGTTAGCTTTAGTGTCCCTTCATACCAGCCCCTCATTCCTCCCTGAAGGATACACTCCCACACCCCTCCGTGTCTCCTTCTCTGCAATGTTTCCCTTGGTGTCTGAGTCAGCATGGGTGCCAAGTCAATCAATGTGAGAGCTGCCAGCTGTGATGGTCTCTCTCTCTCGCTCTCTCTCTCTCTCTCTGAGGGTGTGATGTATGTTCCAGCAAGCGGAGCAGGGCAACTGCACACCACACGGGGCTGACTGCATGGACGGGTGGAAAAGGAAAGGAAAAAAGGGTTTAGGGTGAGGAGAGAAAGAAGGAGGGGAAGATAGGAGGGGGGGAAAAAGAGGACGGTGGCTGAACAGGAGCTGTAATGAGGCCTGATGGATTCTGAGGCTGTGCCAGATGCCCCATTAGCTGAGTGGCTCTGAGCCCCACGAAGCACTGCCCACAGAGTGCCCACCAGACTACACACACACTGTAGTGGCACAGCACCTTAAGGGCCTAAACCCTGCGAAACAGAAACACACACACTTCTCACATTTAACTAAAACAGATTGCAGTGACTAATGTACACTCTTCTGTCTCACTTCCTTAGCTGTTTAAACACACACTTACACACACATTCATCCAGGGCCTTGCCAGCCACACACGGATACACACTGAGCCCTTTATGAGAAGGTGTGGGTTAATGACGGCAGCGGCTCGTCCCAGTGTGTTGATTAAGTGTGAGTGGACACATGGGTGACACTGGCATGTTCCAATCAACACTGATCAAACCAGTGCACACGCCAGTGCCAAACACACCCTTGTGTCACTTCGCTGCCCACGAACAATGGAACTATACACTGTGCTGTCCATTCATAATATTTTTGTGCTCTTTCCAGAGCCAGTGCCTTTGGACTTTTGTCTAGGGAAACTTTTTATGTAGGTGATGTAATTACATGGGCAATTTGAATAGCAGCGGGGGCAAGACCTCTGAGGTTCTGGTGGCTTAATGCTGCAGCAAAGTTAGTTGCCAGATACAGTCAAGGTGTAACTGTTGTTTAGCAGTTTCCTCTATTGCACCTGCAGAAGTGTGCATCATTGCCTTTCTGAACTCATGCAAATTGATTGGAATTATCTCTGAACTTGATGCATATATATTTTTAATTCACTTAGTAAGTCTCTTAGTAACTAATTAGTAAGCCTCTTAAGACATTGCTTTTTTTTATGCGATATCTGCCATTTCAGCAGCATATATAACACCAGGGTGATGTGAAGGGGGCACACAAAAGCTGTTTTAAGAAAGGATACCAGTGACTATGAACAATGTAAAAGAAATGTTTTGTAAGTGTAAGCAGACAGAATTCAAATCCTGCTCTGAAGTTCCCCGTGAGCTCCAGAGAGCTTTATAGTGTTATTCAGGTCATTATTTTGGCTTTGAGGCCAACAACTTGACTGCTTTGGTTGACTTTCACTAACCTTATGGTGGTGGTTTTGGCAGAAGTGAGTAAAAAGCTGTAAATATTCACTTTTACACGACCTCCTCTGTTACTTCAAAACAATCAGTCACACGATGATAGTACAGAACAGGGCTTTCAAACATAATGCCTGCGGGCTAAAATCGGCTGCCCAGTCCAGCGCGTTGGACAGCTTTAGAAATGTGAGGGAGTGGATAGATTTTGAATCTCTAACTGTATTTTTAAAGGGTTTTCAGCTTTTGCTGTTGATAAAGACCCCCACCCTCATTGTCGCTCACACTACACCACAGTACAAGGAGATTTTGTCAATTAATGAAAACTTTACATTCTAAATTTATAATTACAAGACAGTCTGAGTGATGAGCTACCAGAATCTTTTCTGTAACTTTTCTTTTCATTTATGATTAAGTTTCACTGGTCTGCCCCACTCCAAATCAAAGTGGACTGTATGTGGCCCACAATGGAAACTTTGACATCCTTGGTGGAAGACCTTCACTCCTGATGGAGTTTTCTGACTCTTAAGCTCCAACAGGAATTAGAAGTCAGTCAGTTTTTCAGTTTCCAAATGATTCAAATTTTCTTTTTTTTTAATTGGATCAGCAGATACAAATGTGTTCTGGTTGCTGACAAACTTCCGTTGTCAGATAAGCTTGAATGAGTCCCCAATAGTGCAGATGGCACAACCCATACTCAAGACCAATATCATGTCACTTCATTATGTTCCTAGCTTGCAAGATCACTACCGCTGACCTCATCAAAGCTGGACGACCCATACTGACCTCATCAACGCAGCGTGACCCACTATGACCTCGTCAAAGGTGGGCAGCCCACAGAGCCCGGAGGGCTGACGATGGGCCTTAGAAAAACAACCCATCCATTAGGGTGCCAAGAGCACTGTAAATGTAGAGTGTCAGCGCCAGCCATCTTCACTGTCATGCCCAATTCTCCAACCCCCCACTTGAGCTACTCGCTGGACAATGGGGCCACTAAACCTCCAACCCTCCCAGCCACAATGTCCGCCCACGTTGGCTGGCAGCAAGCAGTGACGGGGGCAGGGGGGTGCCGGATGGGGAGGCCTGCTGCAGGATGGGACTCTTATTGAGTGTTTGAGCGATGAGCCAGGTCATCACATCTACCCACCTCATCCATCATGCCCCACAAACGGACACAAATAGAGAGGACACATTCCTGCCTCCGCTCCCACTACCACATTCAAGCCCTCTCCAGCCTTTTCTCTGCGTCTCCGTCACTTTGTGAGCCAAGGCCTCAAGAAAAAAATAAAGAGGACCAGAGTTCAGACTCTCCCTCACTCTTGGAGGCCATGGGAGCGCCAGAAGAAAGCGCCAGGTGGTGTTCTGACTCTTGTCTCTTAGTATAAATTTTGACGTGGGTCAAAATGATGGGCAGCCAGAAGGACTGTATGGAGTGAGGAGGCGCGAGGGAAATGGACGGACAAAGAGCGAGTAAAATTATTTTCTGGAGTAATAAAGAGAGAAACGAAAACATGTCAATCCACATTGTAGTCCTTTATTTCTTAGTTGTTCCTCCCACAGTATTGAATTGAAATGCATAACAGTTACATTGTAGAAAGCATTAAAACAAAGTACCTCAACTTGCTGATTACTTTTTAAAGTCGATTATAAACAAAAACAACGACAAAAAACAAATAAACAAACCAAAAAAAAAAGAAGAAAAATCTGGTCCCTCAAAACGGGAAAATAAATGAAATTAATCTGTTATTTATCATAAGTTTGGCACAAGGGATTAACATGAACCGAACATCACACAAGCTTGCAGACAACCGTAGAAAATGTCAGATACAGATCTTATCAGACCAATCATGCGCTTATGAAGAAATTATACCTGGCTTTTTTATTATTAATTCCTTATACTGTTTTTCTTTTTTTTTTTTTTTTTTTTTTTTTTTTTTTTTTTTTACATTTGAATCAATAAATTGTCATAGAAAAAACCCCTAAGTAATATCTATTCATCAACTGATTTCATTAGTAGAATAAGGAGTGAATTGTATGTTTTAATACTATCCGGCCCTCAAATGTAATCTACAAACCCCATTGAACTGTGGGATTGGCCCGGCTGGGAATCTCCCCCTTGCCCGGGCTAAGAGCAGTGCTATTCAGTAAACAAACTACAGTTTGCCAAGAAATAAATACAATTCTCAAAATACAACAGCAAATAACAACAACAACACCAACAGAAACCAAAATGAAAAACAAAATCGTGATTGTCTAAAAATGAAAGACACACAAGCATGGAGTAGCTAACAACTAGCATTCGGGCTATTTAGTGGTATTGTTGGTGGACTAGGATGGATTCAAGGGCTTTGAAAAAGACTTATGTCCTCGACAGAACAACAGTTAACTTCAGCACTGGATACTTATTTCAGTAAATTAAACAAAACAAAACAAAGCAAAAAAATCGTCGTGTTTTCTTCTCTTCCACTAAACAGACAATCTATTTATATCCTTTCACAGACATCGCAGGTGGGCAGGATGGAGTGCAGTGGACAACAGTTGTCAGACACTTGTGTACAGTGCTATGATTGTGCAGACACACACAGCTATGAAAGATGCAGATGGGAGACTGGCCTGATTTTAGTTGAGCAATTGCTATCTTATGTTTGTACTTCAGTTCAGTTCAGTGATATTAAAGCACCGCCAGTGCTATCCTTACATGGAACGATTTTCATCTGAACCGAGGTTGCTCGCCCGACCTTTTAATGTTTTATCATCATGTATTCATGGGAAACACCTGTTGATCTCTCCGGGGGTTCAAAGGGAATTCTCGTTCTGGTTCTTATGCTTTACACACTGTGAAACATGCTAGGCTGAAACCAGCTGTCTTAGACGCCACCAGTGTTACTCTCGGTGTAAAATGTTCTCCTTGCTTTGTATGTGCCGGCCAGAAAATTCAGTCGAGTGACGACAAATCAGCATATCCACTTCCCACAACTTTCAGCTGCCTTTGCTGTGCAAAACATAGAAATTCAGAAGAATAAATACGGCTATTATTACTTTAGCATTATTATTTTCACCACATCCTGGTTGGTGTCAATGTAACAAATCAATTTTAGGGTCTCAGAGGGACATTTTTGCTCTCTATCTGCTGGAGGTTTATTTTTTATTTTTATTTTTTGGGAGGGGGGGGGGGCTTGGGTTGGGATGGATTTTGCATGGGCAGTTGCCGTGTTTTGGGGGTAAGGCGCCTCACTCAGCAGTCGGGTGGGCTGTGGTTCCTGCTCAGCAGTCACTCTGTGGACAATCAGGGATTCCTGCAAAATAGCCCCTGCAATGGACTGCCAGTGCCATAGGTGGATCAGGGTCGGGTTGAGAGCTGAAAAGGTAGGTGCAAAGAGGTGTCATCATACATGGCTGAGGGATTGGATGGCACTGGATTCAGCGGCAGCCCGTGCCAGACTGTGCCACATGGTGGCTGGGGTGTGGGTAGCTGGGTGAAGAGTGTCCTTTTCAGCCAGGGACAGCATCATGGCATAAGCCTGAAGGAGTAAGGGGTGGATTACAATTTACTATATTATTTACATAAAAAACACAAGTACACTGCAGATAATCGTGTATATGGATTGTCTGTATCTAAGCGTACGCGCGCGCGTGTATGTGTGTGTGCATCTTTATCTACCTGAGACTTTGATTTCCTAAAGAGCGGCTGTTTGACTGCCTCAGTCAGAGATGGGGAACCAAATGAGCCGTCCTCCTCATCCCCATCCCCATCTCCGTCACTCAGTTCGCTCTCGTCCAGCTTGCGCATTTCAGTAAAGCGATGGATGTGATCCAAGGCTGAGTAGCTGCTCTGCTCCTCCTCATCTTTATACCTGAAAGTCATGTCAAACATCAGTTAAAAGCTGCCAGGATACTTTTGACTTCAAAGCATCGTATTTAAAGTGATGCATTTTGTTTTGGAGCTGCAACCTTGTGTCAAATTACCTCCTTGGAGAAGTTTTACAGCTGAGATTCAAGTCATTTGGCTCACTCAAGTCCATTTCGTCTTGTATGATGGGATCACCGAGGTCGCTTTGGAGCACCTTGCTTTCTGATTTTTCAGGGGTGTTGCTAGGCTCCTCCCCTTCTTCTTCATCCGCACCTAACTCTTCCGCTTCCTCATCTTCCAGGTCATGTGACCTATGGCTGGCCATCAGTGGCTTTTCTTCTTCAAATGGACCACCATTTAGCCTGCAGACCAGGAACATTAGTTCATGAGGCTTGTTCAACGCAGTAGGCATTTAAGGTTGAAGAAATGAAACATCCACCCTGTTGGCTGAATTATGTTATTCATATACTCATTCTGTTTTTGAGAAAATATGCAGTGTGATTAAGGAATTCTTCCAGTGTTTGTAGATGAACTGATGTGAGGCAGAACAGGGCAGCTGGAATTGAGCAGAGCCGGAATCCCGTTTGTCATCAAGGCTTTGAGGCCCCTTTGGGCACAGCAGCACTGGGTTGATCATTGCAGCACTTAAATGGAGTGCTCTGCCTCTCTCCTTGTTTATTTTCCCTACTATCTCGTATTCATCTAATAGGCAAAATATTTAGCTGACAGCCCCATTTGGTGGGAGAGTTATGAGAGCGCTGCCAACCAGCCCATTCCTCTATCCCTGTGGAGAGGGAAAAGGCCAGCTATCCAAACTGCCTGAGTCTTAATCTGTCCCTCTGTTTCAGTGCCACAGGAAACCGCCATTTGGTAAATCATCTGGAACCACATTAAGACTGATTCACTAATTACACTCTGGGACATCTTTCGTCAGCTCCCAAATATGCCATTTCTTGCACAAAGGATTCAGAGAAGGGGACTGAAAATTGAACGGGGGAGAAGGAGATTCATAGGAAACACAACACATCAAGCACAACACCACATAATTATAGAATGCTTATAAACAGCATAGCCGCACTGGATTTAAAAGGGATACGTTTGAAAGGGGGAGAGAGGTAATTACACCGTATTCGATTTTAGCACAAAAAGGATTTGCGTCGTTTTGTCTCAGATTTCAGGAACTGATAATGTTGTACCGTCAGCAGTGTTCTCGTCAGAGTGGAGAGTTCAGGTGGTATTCAGGGCTGCAAGGAAGAACTAGCTCCAAAAGAGGGAGTGAGAACTCTGTGATTAAGAAAACAGATTCGCTAATTACGCTTTCAAACGTGGTAATTTGCTGGGGATAAAGTATCTATCAGAAGCAGTCAGCAGTGCAGCACTTTGAAAGGAAACACAAGCTGACCCTTTGACCCCACCCCCTCTACTCTCTTCCTGTAGGCAGACATGTTGGTTCCAGATGTGGTCCTCTAACTGCTGCACTACCCCTCCTGCCTCCCGTCCCTCTGACACTCTACCGCTCAGCCCTGCTCTCACGGGCCTTCTGCTCAATCACGAGCTAGTCTGCGAGATCTCTATCGGGCCTCCAGTGATCAAACCAACATGGGGCGCGTGAAAACAAACTCAGGGACCAGAGTAGACCTCGCAACTGTTATCCGATCTGATCACAGCTACAAGAATTTGTTTGCATAAAGCCCAGATGAAGTTGCATGTATATTGATATCTTTTCCTACATGTGGTCAAGAGGCAATTGATTTAAAGAGCTTGCTCACTTTTCCAAATCTTAAATGTCATCGCAGATAAGAGTTCTTTACTCCAGACCCCCCAAAATGATGCGATTGTTATTAACAAAGCCTGGCTGGAAGGTATGAAATTGGATGTCTAAAAATGGTGGATAGTGGTCGACACATTATTGTATATATATTTTGTGTGTGTGTGTAAATCCCACACAGTTAATACATATTCAATCTAATGTAGATTTACCAGTATCCTTTCAAAAGATCACCCTTCATCTGTTTTTTCCCCATCTTTTAATTATTTATTTTTGAATCAGCTCGAGCCCTCCAGGCCAAGAAACAACCATCTCCTTGTAGAAGTAGAAATAGGAGGAAAGATGGGCACGTATCACCACATAAAGCTGCTCTCACCCTTCCTCTGAGGGGTCCGGTGATGTCTGGTTCTGGCTTGTGTTGCTGATAAAATTTCTTATTTCGTTGAAATAAGAGTCCTCTTTGTCATCCAGTATGGCGCTGCTGCTGTCCAGTTCAGACTGTGGGGACGACATTGCAGTTCCTATAGAAAGAAAATACATTCCAGTCATCATGTGTTTGAACTTGATGCCCCCAAACTGTTTTAAGGATGAAAGTATGCCGTAAAAGACATGTTTTGTTTGTCAGTCTGTCAGTGTGACATCTGTATCTACATTACATCACTGAGGAAAATATGAATCGTGCTTTAGAAGGATGGGGGTTTGATCCCTGGCTGTATCCATGGGCAAGTTACTGAACCCCAAGTCGCACTTTGTATAGAAAAAGAAAGTGCTTGTATGAACGGATATGGATTCTTCACTCTATTTGTCATTTTTTGAGACCTTAAGACAGTTTAAGATAAATTTATGTGACATCTGAGTATACTTGGCCCCACTGAATGCTAGTAATGATACAAAAGCCGAAAGCTTAAGACGCTATGGTTTTATTATATAAACTGTGGAGAAAGAATTTTTCTACAAAGTATTATTAGTCCATAGTGTTTGTGTTTTGTGTTGAGTGGGGGGAATATATAATTTAATGCCGAAAAAAGGAAAGCTTGACAGATAATTGATTTGCATTTGATGGATTGCTCATTGTGTCTGATTAAGTGGCGACCTCCTCTTAGGCCCGCTGCCGTCGGCTCCTGGCCAGGTGTCACTGCTCGTTCTGCTGATTCAGAGTCAGAGTGATGCAACCTCTCAACCCATAAGCTGTGAGCTGTGCTGCTGATGAAAGCAGCTCATTCAAAAATATTTTGTGCTGTTGTTGCAGAGGTCGATGACAGATTTATATAATTTAATTTCTCAGCCTCTGAGATTCTCTCGATCAGGAGTATATTTTGTTTTATGCTATGCAGTGGAATGATTGATGAATCTAAGGAGTCAGCAAATGCTGCTCTCATTTTCTCTGATAATACGGAAAGAAAAAAAAAGAAAAAGTAGCTTGATTATTGTATCTTATTACAAAATATATATATATACATATATATATATGTCCACGGTCTACAAAACTTGCTACACACCTGACAGATTGCCGTTCTCGTGCTTTTTGAGGTGGCGATCCAGGTTTGTCTGCTGACCGAAGCAGCGGTCGCACAGGTGGCACTTAAACGGCTTCTCCTTGTTGTGGATGTTGCGAATGTGACGTTGTAGGTTGGAGGAGATGCTGAAGGAGCGGTCACAGTACTTACACCTGCAGAAAGAAAGTAAATGCCTTTCGTTTAGCTCAGTAATTAAATGAAGAAAACATCAAAACGCACATGCCGCTGGTCATAAATACAACTGTACTGCATAATGAATCAGGAACCTGCGGTTTGTTATGTGGGGAAACATAATGGGATACATAATGTAGGACACCACACACACACACACACACACACACACACACACACACACACACACACACACACATGCTCATACAGACAGTCCCAGCAGTCCCACAGTCCCAGACATGATGGAGGAGCTTGTTTAAGGTGAAACAGCTCTGCCTCTTATCTCCAGCCAGCGCAATAAAATTGCATTCTTCTCTCACAAAATAAGCACGCAACAGATTTGGTTTGAGCCCTGCAAAAATTAGGAGCTCCTGCCAAGTTTCTTCATGCAAAATTATACGAGAAGATTACATCTTTTCTTCTTGTGGAATTAGCTCGCTCGATTGGCTGTCCCTCAGGAACCCTCCCCCCCGGTTATCTCCACAAAAAATTACAATAAAAGGCGGTGATCTTTAATGGCATGCCAGCATGTAGAGTGCAGGCTATCAGGCTGGGGCAGTAGAGGCCTGCATCTGTCTTTCTCTCTCCCCTGTGGTCAGCAGGCCCCTTCCGAACTTTGGGCCAAAATTCCTCTACCTTAGTAACTACAAAGCCAAGCACCGAGGCATCCAAATGTAGTAAGTCTTCAGAATTAATTTTTGCATGGGTACTGGACCACTGTTGTATTGTAACTAGTACTTCAGATGCACCTGGAAAAATCTGCTGGGCTGATAGGAGCAGAAAGGGGAGCCTTTAAACAAAGCTTCCAAAATGGAAAAAAAAAAAAAGCACTAAGAGCTAAAATTACCATTTTTTTAACCACGATTTCTGGAATAAGATGGGAATAACTGTTTAGATGGGATGTAAGCCTCTATTTGGAGTAGCCAAAGTTGTTGTAGATCACTCTGTGACCACAGCTGCCGGGTGTGGACGTCTGCCTGTGCTCCTCAACAACCCAAATCCCCCCAAACCTCCCCTTTCACCCAGGCGATGGACGCCATTTTTCATCAGGCAAATTGTTTAGCAGTAGTATAATTATTCCAGGCCTTTAATGGCATAAGAAAACACACATAAACTCTGTTCTAACTGTAGACAAGAAATCCCTGGGAAAACATCCACATGCTGTTAACAAATGAGTTGTGCTGTCTGTATGTGTGGCTCAGAGTACACTGTGTGAAAGTGTGTGCCCTGCTTTCACTCATATGTGTGAGGGGAGAAAAGCAGCTCTTTTTCATGGGGTGTTAATCGGCTATGGTGCAAATCGGATTTTTGACTGGACAATTATGTGCCTGCAGACTTTTAGAGCTGAGTAAGGATAGGTTGAGGGATACAATTGCAAAGTAAAAAAACACGAGGAGCCCGTAAAAAATGCTCTTACCTATACGGTTGCTCTCCTGTGTGAGTCCTCAGGTGGCGTGTCAGGTTGGCAGAGCGAGGGAATATTTTTCCACAGTATCTATAAAGGAGTACATAACATTTTGCAATTTTTAAGTGCTTCCAAAAAAAGAACAGGAATTCTTACTGCAATGTGTTCTCACTAAAACACAACCATATAAAAACAAAAAACTACCCACAAAACGCACACCAGTCCCAGACAAGATTTACAAGAAAATATTCTGAGAAAGGAAAAAGAAAGAAAAACTGCAGAGACTACTAAAAACTATTAAAAAAAATAATTTATGACTAACTTAAAAGTGAAAAATACAAGCCAAACTAGGGGTTTTAGTTACCTGCATGTGTAGCGCTCCTTTCCCTTGCGCAGTAGCGTGTCGGGAAGCGCCGAGGGCGGAGCTCTGAAGTCAAACATGGAGGGAACCGAGCGCAGCAGGTCACCAGGCTCTGGCTTCAAGGAGCCAAACGTTTCCAGCTTCTCTGCCATGTTCTCGATTGCAGTCATCTGAAGAGATAGGAAAAAGGAAGGACAGAGTGAGGAGCCATGTCAGCTAAGAAGAATTGAAATCTGACTTTTCATAAACAAGATTTTGAGACAACACATTCAGCGTGTTTTGGTTTCTGATTGCCAGATGCAGTAAAAATGCAAAAACTGACAATACCTAAGAAGCACAGAAATCCCACATTCTTTACATTAAGCACATAAGCCAAAGAGTTATGGATTTTTCTTAATAAAGAACCTACTTTCTATATAGATTCGCTCACATCGTTTGAGTAATGAGTCTTGTTTACAGGCAAAAAACAGTTGAAAAGTCAAACAAGTGCCGAAGGAGAATTCTCATTATGACGCTCATGAATAATTCATACATCACAAGGTCAAATTCCTGTATGTGCATGACAAGAACACTGGAAACTGATTCATAACTTTGCCGAAAAATGAAAACCAGTTCGCTTCCATTCATGGTTAGTGGCGAGCAGGTGTGCAGCTGTGAATGTTAAATTAAGCCATTGCTTGTTCTGTTCCAAACATGCATGTACAGTAGGCAGATAAACACACACGCACACGCACATAGGAGGACTGCAGCCAATCTGCTAATGAAGCTGAACCTTTACTTTCATCGGATACTCTCCGGGGAGATATCCGTGTGTGTATGTGCGCTCATGTATGTATATGAATGAGAAACTATGAGCTGCATGGTGGTCGTAGTTGATTAACTACCTTCAGTGTGTGTAAAAAACGGAAAATATATTTGTGTGAGAGAGTGAGGAATGTTCCTGTAATGTATTTGTGTGTGTGCAAAATGTGTGTGCTTACAGGCATGTCCGTTGCATGTGATTGCACATGCTTAGTGTGTATCTGTCTGTGTGTGCGTGTTTGTGTGTGTGTGTGGCAGAGGAGTGATTCATGTCCACTGCCGGGCTGTAAACCATTCTGTGCACAATGCGGGCAGACAGCACATTCGTCAATATGAAAGATGTTGACATTACTGATCAAGGGCCAGACACGGGTAATAATGATATCGCTGTGCTGAGAGGGGCGGGATGGGGGAGGAGCGGGGGGCTGGAGGGGGAGTGAAGGGAGAACTAGAGGGAGGAGGAGAGGGAGGGGCAGGGGTCTCAGTAGGCCGCAGGGCCTGACAGGCCATCTCACACACACACACACACACACACACAAACACGCACACACACACACACCCTTACAAAGTTTTCTTTTTTTTTTAGCAGACTCACACATTTGCATTATTTTGCCTGTATTGAATTTTCAGCCTGTTTCTCTTTCTTATTTCAATAAGGCAACAAATCAATGGTGATTCGGGTCCTCCACCAGAGCCCTGCTCCGACTTTGACATTCCATCTCCTGCTTTCACCCCCTGTCACTCTCAGGCTTCACGCCAAGATCGAGGAGACTGAGGGAAAAGAAACAGAGCACGAGAATTGGAGAAGAAGCATGATGAAGGACTAGATGATAGAGGAGGGGGGGGGGAGGGGGAATGGAAGAAAGAGAGACAAAGAGGGAGGAAAAAAAGCGTGCAAACAAGAAAGTAAGAAAAGGCAAAACAGAGTCCGGAGAGAGAAGGACTGATGGCTGATGGATGGCGGTGGAGTCGGGTGTTGGGAGTGGCTGATTAGGAGTGACGGCCGAGTGTAAAGTTCCTGCCGCAGCCGTCGGCGTTCCCACTGAGGGAGGATGTGGAGTGTCAGCTCTGTTTGATTATGAATATGCCAGTGCTACACGCCATGAATCAAAGGCAAAAGAGAGACCAAGTGGGAGAGAAGAGAGAAAGAGAAGGCGAGGAAGTGAGAAAAGAAGGGGGGGACGGGCTGAAAGATAGGCAAGAGGGAGGTGAAATGCTTTCATATTTCTTTTGAATGTATTTCATTGGGCTCTTTTCAGAAACTGGAATGAATGCTCAGTTTGTCTGCACTGCTCAATGAGAAGCCATAACTCCTGGGAACATTAGGGCCCCTAAAGCTGTCGGGAGTATCGAACCTGTTCGATAAGACATTTTTAGAGCTGAAAGCTACTCCATCTTGGCTCCATCTACTGGGGAATTCTGATCCCACCTCAGTCTACTCATGCGGCTGCTCTCTGTTAAGACTCGTCTCTTTTTATATGAAAAAATATACATGGCGGAGTATATTTTCTTTGCATACTGACTACTTGACATGATAAAAAAAAAAACTGATCACAACTGTTCTTTAAATCCGTTGCTGCAATTTAAAAATTTTTTCACTAAATGCTCCAAAAAGGAGATTTTCCTTGCCAAATAACTTGTGTGCGGGGACACGGCAAATGACTCACACGTCCAGTCCAATAGACAAGTGACCATCAGTCAGCTCCATGTTACACTTCAAACACTGAAATGATTTTATGGATGTCGAGTCAGGCTCACTTGGAAATATTGCGTGCGAAATGTTCGACATTTTGATCTACCCGCATGTACATTCAACCACACACACACACACACACACACATACAGACACACACCCCTACTAAAACCCCCCTATCCCTCCCTCTGGGCAGTGTGTATGCATCTGTAAACTTGCTTGTTTCTGTAGCACCACTCTGGGACCAGCAGTTGATTGGCTATCTTCAGATGTCAGTGATGCTGTTAGGGCCCTAATTAGCGAGATGCATTCTCATTTGTTGATCTTTATCGGGAACCAGATGTTTAGAGGGAGGAACTAACCTCCCGCTCCCCCCGCCAGTGTCCCAAAGAGACTGTTACCCTCTTGGTGATGTAAAGCAGCACCCCTAAAGACCACTCACCACCCCACGTTCCACTCATCCCCCCTCCCCCCATGCCCATTTGCAAGAGGTCTGCTTCATTCTCCAAATAAGCAAACATATATTCAGGGCTGGTGCATGGAAAGGGTGTAGCTCAGTTGGAAATCCCCACTGAAACACTTTCATGTTAGAAGTAAAGATACGTCAAGATTGAAAGATGTAAACAAATCAAAAAGGCTTGGATACACATACCATAGTATGTTAAACATTATAAACACTGACATGAAATTTCTTTTTATTGTCTCTGAGCAGTCGAGTCAGTGTGTGAGTGTGACAGGCCAAAGCCATGCGAATGCTGGGTGATGTCAGTTGGAAACTGTTTCGCAGCTCGTGCATTAATTGTGGGATAGGGTTTGTTTGCTTGACGTACGGACACATGGCAAAACTGTATGTTTGAGAGGAACTTACCCAAGTTCTCTGATCTGGCAAATGAAACTGAGGGGCGGAAGAGAAGGAAAAGAGAAAGCAGTCAGAACCAGAAAGTGGCGCATGAATCAACAGCTTTTGATTGGACACACATGGGTACAGAAGGGATGATGGGCCTTGGTGCAATTAACTTTGAATGAGCAATGAGCTGCCTATCTACGGAGTTATGGCGCTGGAATTATATGAGGCTCTTATAGTTTCCAACACTTCCTGGTGTTCAATAAGCTCATTATAGAAGGCTACAAATTCAATTCCAGTATGTAATCTAAGCCAGTATTGGCTAGCAGTAAAATTTCCTGCCAGGAAATAAAAAGCTGAATCACTAAAGGTTGAAAGAACTTCCAGCCCCCTCAGCTTTGCAAGCTCTCTTTTAATATATTGCTCAAGAGTGACTCAGGTGACTGAAAACAAACCTCCTCAAAAGTACGTGGAACAGCCCATCGCCTGGTCTGGCTGAGACCTACCCTGGTCTGGAATTTGCGGGAATGATTTGTGTGTCCAGACATCATAAAGTCATAAAGATGGCCTAAGCACTCAGTTAGTGTTTCTACTGATAGGACACCTCATTAAGGCATGTGGGACGGCCATGTGGCTGCTGCAGGCTGGACCCATGCAGCAGTCTGGACAGGGGACATAAATCAGACAAATGAAACAGCCTGTAAAAACCAGGCCTGAAACAGCCAGAAAAGAGAGAAAAAAAATCATGTGCCTGAGAAAGTGGTGTTTTCACTTTCCAGCAGACCGTTCTCACCCGCGGGGGAAGATTGAACAAATGAACGTCAATGCAACATGTCATCGACATGCATACACACAGACCCGTGTGCACGCATGGACACATACCCGTTAAATGGAGCCTCATGCTGGAAATACTGGCACAGAAAACCCAGGGGCAGAAACTGTTGCTTTAAGAGCATATCATTTTTTTAATATTGTAATCAAAGACATATTATAGGAAGATGTGTCACAAAGTGGCCTTTCTTTCCAAAACACATCTGTTTTGGGGAGCCAGCAGCGGGCTTAACAGGCAGTAGCTTGGGTAAAACTAGAGTCACATGCTAATCCTCATTAATCCAGTCTGGTCAGTCTGTGATAACCATTAAGGATAAAAGCTCTTTGTAGAAAGAATCATAATATGCACTGGTTGCTTAAATTACATGTTGCTGTCACTGCTGTGTACATAGGAGGCCAAGACTTGGACTTGTAAGCTTGAATTGTGCCATTGTTTGATGGCAAGACCCATGACAGCTGTGATTTAACTCGTACCCTTATAAATTAGGGCAGTATAGGCATCTAAATCATCAACTTAAATAACTAAAAGAGTAAAGAGCTGCTGAACTCATAAGAATGCAATATTTAATCCTTTATGTTGTACCCGGTATGCATCCTTTCCCAAATTTCCCCAATTCCTATGAAAGCCATAGTTTAAACCTACCTGTGGATGGAAAAGGAAGCCCGGAGCGGGTCGCATGTACTTGTCTTTCAGAGTCTCAAACGGATCGCTCATTCTCCTCTTCTCAACCCTGCTAATAGTAGATTTCTATTAGCTCTTAGTGGTTATCAGTGAGATTATATTCAGTTTTACAAAATAACTGACAAACTTTGCAAATCTGTATGCACATTTGCAGCATATAGAAGTAATTACATTTTTTAAATACTGTGATTTAACCAAATAAAGGCTTAGAGAGTTACTGGTAATAACAATACCTATAGATGGGGTCCATGAAGAAAGGGGTGGGCCTAGCATGTTGTAAGGAAGTGTCTGCTTTTGGGATCTCCACCACTCCTTTCTCCTCTTCGTAATTTGGATTCTTTTTCGTCTCCTCCTCTCTTGGATTACGCCCACGGCCCCTGGCCCCAAGGCTCAAATCTAGTGGCTGATCCTGACCCATAGATTGGGCCATTTCTGGTTTGGAAGATGCAAAGGATGCTAACTTTTCCTCCTTTCGCTTGGTGGTGAGGTCAAATGGGGACTCGGATGAAGACTTCCCTTGGGCCTTCTTGCAGTCATCTGCAGGTGATTGTGGCTCCCCCTTCAGGCCTGCAGTTCTGAGGTCTCTGTCTGGGAAGGGGTAAACCGGAGGGGAGAACGCTGGGAAGAAAGGCAGTGGAAACATAGAAGGATAGGGAAGAGACCCAACCTTCTTGTCCTGTAGGCCAGCTAGCCCAGTGGAGCCAAAATACTTCTCGGCAATTGAGGCAATGGCCTTAATAGAGTCATTCACAGCTCCTGTTACAGCTGTGTGTTCGTCCAGCGGGGACGGGATGAGGGAAGGGCCTGGAAAGTCTTTAGCAGCGATGCTGCCCATCAGGCCGGGGCTTTGAGGGCCTCCTTCACTGGCCTTCCTCTTTGGACCTTTTCCGTTTTCTCGAGCAGCCCCCCTCTCCCTCTCACTGTCCATGTCGCTTTCGAGCTCGGAGCCTGACGTGCTCTCTAGATCACTTCCACTGGGTGTGCTGACATCATCCAGGTCGCTGCTTTCAGACTGGTCACTCTGCTTGTTCTTTTGCTTGGTATAGGATGAGCCCTGGCTGTCTGACACTGGCATTTGACTTCCAGGTGAACCGCCGTCTTTGCGGAGAGCTTTGAGAAGTTCTTGAGACTCCTGAGCACCAGGGCTTGGAGGCAGCAAAGGACTCTTGCTCAGCTCTACTCCAGGTCCAGCAACAGGTGCGTGGGATGGCTGTCTGACAGGAGAAGTTGTGGCAGGAATGAGTGGCGGCCGGTGATAAAGTCCAGAGGGGAACAGGCCAGGGAAGCTGAAAGGAAATGCTGGGGCAGCAGGGAACGTAAGTCCGCTGTGATGTCGGCTAGCCCCAAAATAATCAGCAAGTCCTGCACTGCTGTGACCCATTGCAAGAGCTGATTTGTCCAAGCCGGGGGCCCCAGGGAGTGGCATACCCTGGGCAAACAGCCCTCCTGCTGTGAAGTGGTTCTTCCCTTCACAGAAGCGCCGGTGCTTGTTGAGGGAAGAGGTGGTGCTGAACATTTGCCCACAGTCCTTACATTTGATCTGTGTGCGGCAGTCAGCGTGCATGCGTTTGTGGCGGCAAAGGTTAGAGAACTGGGTGTAGGACTTGTGGCAGACTTCACCTGTAGGGAAACAGAGACAAGCATAGATTGCATCAGCCTCTGACATGAACTGAACCCCCACCCCTCCACCCCTCCCAACTCCTCATGCACATACACACCAAAATTACATAATTTAATATGACATTTCTATGCTTCAGGCCGGCTGAAGCAAAGGCAGAGGAAATGCAGCATGAGTGATACACTTGTGTTCCCATCAATACTCTGACAATGTTCCAGCAGAACAGAAAAGAAGAGGTGTGTCCAGATCCTGGAATTGTCAGAGAATCTATTTGGTTGATGGTGTGAGTCACTCGCTGCCACTCATCAGCTGCACATCAAACCAAATTCCCAGGCATCTCCAGCCCCATTGTCCTTCCAGGGACGCTCCCAGGGAGTCCATAAACAATCACACAGAGACACACATGTGTACATGCAGTCACATTCACAAAATATCCACACACACCGCAACGAAATTGTAATCACACACACAGACACACACAGGCATAAAGCTACACACACACACACAAACGCACACACACATTCTCAGCCTCATTCAGTACAATGGCTCTATTTTAAGTTTGAGAAGGAAGTGGAGTTGAATGAATCCTATCCTGCAGTCCGGTTCCCAGGGACAGGTCTCACATCCTCTGCTGCTTCCCCCCCACCCCCCCTCTCTCTGGGCCTCTCTAGTCACCCCCTCAGCCCCCTCACCTTGTCCCCATAGTTGGCTCTGTCATCCTGCGCTTACTGACCTTCCCACAGTCAACAGCCACACTCTCTATGCCTGCCTGTCAGTCAGTCTGTCTCCGGAGACGTACAATGACAACACCCAACAAAAAATCCACCATCTGATGGTATCTGTTGGTCAGTATTAATCTGTAAGCTATTTCTATTGTAAATGGATGATTTAATAGTGGGAATAGTAACCCATCATATGCTATTTTGGTTGTGCTTTTCAGTTTTGTGTCTCTGAACTTCTGTCATGCAGAAGATGTCCCTCTTTGTCACACCCATCCCACACTATGGATTTTGTGGATTGCAGCTTATGTTCACCCTACACTTTTAGGACAGCAGTAAGAAGGATTTCTGGATGATTGATTTAGCTCATATTGTTATTAGATCTTCTAAACGAGGATAAGGAAGTGGTTAGGCTCACACTGTGGTTTCACTTCTGCATACTTTGGATGCTTTCCAGCCTCAAGGTGCACAAGAGGCAATTCAAGGAGATGGAGAGGGAGAACAGGAAAAAAAAAAGCATTTTGGAAGCACATTTGAATAAACATCCCAGAGGAACTCCAAATGGGAAAGTTCAAGCCAGGAGTGAATGTAATCCTATATTTAAAAAAAAGAAAAAAAAAGGTGAATTTTCAGGAACCAGAAAAATAAATTAAAATAAGGGTATTTGTGGCTAAGCTTTTTTGGACACAGCCAGGCTAATGAAGAAGAAGCAGCAGCAGAGGAAGGAGAAGGAGAAGAAAAAAAAATTCCTTGAGCCCAGACCTTTCAGTCAATTTAACCAATGAAGCTGACGTCTAGCACTGTGACATGAAACAGCAGTTTCTCAGTTTCTCTAAGCGTTACCTAATCATCACCATGGGTGTGTTAGGCCGTTTTAAACTGTTTAAAAGAACACTAAAGAATTTGTATTTTAAATTTGCTTGAAATTAGTCCAATTAAGCTTCTACAATGTGCAAATTTTAGCCAAAAAAAAAGAAGGAACAAGAGCTATTAGTGATCTCTCCTTGTGTCTATATTGTTTTTAAATACAAGTACGCCCACATAGCCTGAGCAGACTGGAAGAAAAAAGCCCTTTGACTCAGTTTAGTTCTTGTGACATTTACATCCTGAGAACATCACATCACACTCACACTGTGGGGCAGGATTCACCACATGTGTGTATTCTTCAGCTCTTAATAAACTGAAAAACAAAATATTATAAACATGCTCCTGTGAAAAGTGCAGCAGATAAATAATGTTCACTTGAGTGTGGGAATTAACAACCCAGCACCTCTGGGTGCTTCCCGTTCATACAAAAGCTTGTATGCACGCATCCTTGACACACTGCGTGCACTAAATCACGAATACTAGTATGCACACACAAGCACATGCATACAGACCCTACAAGAGCACTCACACAAAAAGGCACTTCGCATATGATTTCTCCCAGGCAGCCATCATGTTGGAGGCTGCTTTGTCTCTCTCTCTTTTTTTAGACAGCTATTAGTTGTTTTTAAACCTGCATAGTTTCTGCTGATTATAGCAAATGGACTCCAATTCAGAGGAAGCGCAGGGAAGAGGGGCTGTACATGTGGTTGCTATTTGTGAGGAATGGTGCGTGTTCTGGAGGCAAAAGACGAGATAGGGAAATCTGAAGTCTTCACTGGAGATGCCGTCACTCCTGCTTAAGTATATGGATATTTATTTATATGTGTTTGTCTGTGTGTTTTCATGACAAAAGAAAAAGATAGTATGTATTTAATGTGCACAGATTTGTATGAGCCCACTTAAAAAAAATAAAAAATAAAAAATAAAACAGGGGAAAGAGGAAAGGGGCAGAGGGTGGAGGTCATAATGCTTCAGGGGATATGGAGATCAGATCTCTTGTGTGAGGTGGTGAAAGTGTGAAAGGTCAAAGGTTTTTGGATCCTGCAGGAGTTAGCGAGGACCCCAAAAAATAAGAAAAAAGAAAGTATGTGCTCAAGAAATAAAGAAACCAAGACACGAGACAAAAAAGCCTGCAAGATGTATGTCAACAAAACATTAGATTAAATCACAGTTACAAGCAAAATCAAGGTTAGACAAAGATTCAACGATTCAAACTGAATTACATGCTCGTTAAAATGCTGTTATTATTATGTCAGCAGTGTGCGAGGCTTGGTGCATAAAACAGACTGCATGGGCCTTTCTAAAGAAACGTCTTTGCTTCACTGCAGTATATTATCACGTGTAAACCCTGTAGAACATTACAAGATTAGTTCTGGAGAAAAAGACCTGCAGAAGGATGAAGTGATTTTTTTTCCCCAAAAAACACATTAGAAGGCAAGCCAAAGCATGTCATTACTGTTATTCTTATAATGTACTGAGTAGACTTACATAGGTAGGGTCTTAGTGACTTACACATGAAGGGCTTGACACTGCTGTGGATGTGCTTATGCTGTTTGAGGCCTGAAGACGTTGCAAACGTCTTGCCACACTCAGAACAGGCATGAGCACGCGCCCCGACGTGCTGCGAGCGAATGTGCCTTTGGAGGTTACTGGGGTCTGTGAACACCTGCTGGGGGGAGGAACCACACAGACACACGGGAGGGTTACTATCTGCTTCTAAAAAAATGTGCAGAGGGGACACATGTGCACAAATATCTGCATCCCAAATCATGAAATATTCCCTTCAACAGTCATCACTTTACCTTTGAGCAGTTTTCACATTCGTAGTGCTTGCCACTGTCGTGCGACATCTGATGTCGGATCAGGTTCGATTTCCAGTTGAAGGCCTTGGGACACTGGTCACACTTATATTCTCTCTCCTCACTGTGGGACAAGCTGTGGGCCTCCAGGCTGCAGAAAAGAAAAAAGAAAAAAAGACAATGAGATTGGAAGGATTTGTCTTGAATCACATGTTTGTTTGTCAGCACTTGCTCGAATAAATTATGGGATGAAATGTGTCCATCCAGTTACCTCTGAACATCAGGGAAGACCTGGTCACACTCTTTACATTCGTGTAGTCCTTGGGACATGTGGAGGGGTCGCAAGTCTTGAGGTTCTTGGGCTTTCAGGTCATTGTCGCCTCCTAGATTACATAAGAAGTTATACAAGCAGCTCAAAAAAAGCTTCATTCACTCGAAAGTGGAAGGTTTTAAAGTTGTCCTCATGGCTAAAGCGTAGATCAGATTCACCTTTTCCACAGAGCACTACTCTATGATCTCATTTTCAGTTGCTCCGATGAGAGACAAAGCACTTAGATCATTAGTGTCTTGGTCCCAGTTCAGCAACACATGTTTCTCGACACTCTGTACAACTCTATTTTTATGGTGGTAGAAAAAAAGTAATAATAATGAAAATTCAAACCTGGGTTCAGGAATGAGGAGGGGGGCATCCCACACGGCTTCTTCTGGTGGTCCAGCAGCTGGTTTCGGGACTCAAAGTGCTGGTCACAATCCTCACAGCGGTACTGCCTCTCCTCTGTGTAGTGCAAGGTGTCGGGGCGGGAGGGGGGGAATTAACATAGAAAAAAAACCATTTGTGAGATATGTTTACAGCAGAGAGAGAAAAAAACCAAATTATTTGTGTCTGTGCATGCGTGAGGTGCCGACCATGAATATCAGGAGCCATCGTATCACATGAATACTCTTCAGCCTTCATGAAAAGTAGCAGCTCCTGGCCAGGAAAAATCTCTCTGGTGACTTTGTAGAATATCTGTAAGACACAAAATATTTTTATGACTTAAGCAGAAGTTTTCAAATCAACCCTTGAATCAAAAGAGCCCCGCAGATACGTATCAAAGAATTTGCTTCAGTCCTTTGTTTTATAGTAAAAATGTTGCGTCAGTCACTTTGTGTTAACTTGTCTCTTCTAGGTTGTCGATAACAGCACGAGGAAAGCGTTGCAGAGGTCACGTGAGGTAGCTGTACTGTACAGGCATGAGCATACACACATGATTGTCATAGCACCACTGCACACGCAGAAGAGACGTATACATGAAAATACACACGGTCATTAAGTTGTAATTACTCATCCTGTAAAGCATCCATCTTCATGAATACAAAAAGAAAACACAAACAACTGCTGAATAAATATACTCGTCTGTAAATACTCTCCACAGTAATGCTTGTAGTGGGCAGGAAGTGGGAACGACTATGTGGAGAGAAAGCTAATTAAACAAACAGCGAGCATAGCGAACTATTATAAAATCAGCATTGTGTTGATTGACCATTTTCCCAATAGGAGAAACTTCCAGCTGTGCGATCAGTTTGTGTTATTTAATGCACCTATACTGACTTACGTGTACAGCATTTGTACATAAATAGTTTTGCTACGGCTAAATATGGGACCGTGCATTTTGAGTGGGGCAAGTCATATTTAAGAATCAGATGAGAGTCCCTGGGACTGTGGTGCTTCCCCTGGACACACAATAGGCTTTCTTTGTGAAACAATCACACATGGAGTTATATTTGGCACGCTTTGGACGTTTAACATATTACCTTCCTTTGCTGTGTCAACATGACAATGATGATAGAGGAATTTATTAGAAATGCGACAGGGGGGTGGAGAGAGTTGCTTCTGGGAAGGCGCAGGTCACGATACGCCGCTTATGAAGGGAATTCCTGACTGGGGGAACACAAGAGCCGCCGTGGCTCCTGAGAGAGTTAAGATAAATATCTCGGTCACAATAAAGATCATGAGGTATGCTTCAGACTATAATTATTTGTGTCATTGTTCTTACTTCTGGCAACTGATATAATACTAAATGTGACACTACTGAGTCGCTGGAGTACAGGGAGCTTAAGTAAGTCGGCCGGACCAAGGCAGAGCTCTTGTGTGTCAATAACCTAGGAGTGATTGATGCATCGTAACTCATGTAGTTTTGTGGTAGCATTAAAGTATGACTTAAATTCAGGCATTAAATGAATATGACCCGCCAAGAAAATCAGTGGGAGGGCAACAGGGCCTGGAAGTCTGACTCCCATTACAGGGCTGAACCGGAGTCATTACAGTTATCCAGACCAGGGGAGACATATTACATAATAACCACCAAATGGAATCGATTTTTATGATTTATTTATTTATTTTTTAGTATTTGAGAATTTTTTTTGATTTGCCTTCATTTAACAAGGAAGGCCAGTAGTTAAAGTTAAAAGTTGGGGAATGTTTTTCCTGCTATGTTGAAGGAAGCAGATCTAGTATGAATAAAGAGAAGTGAACTGTGAGGGTCCCAAAACTATAATCTCTGTCATACCCTACTTTGCTCTCTGTAGCAGAGGTGCATGTGCATGAATCTGGATCGTTTTTTTGTAGATCGCACATGGGCGCACAGACAAAGGGGCTCTCAAAGGGCACTAAAATATTGTGATTCAGAAACAATCAGACATCGGCGCAAACAGACACGAGGGACTGTAGGGGTTCCGCTCTGAGAGACTGATACTGAGACTGAGCAGGAAGGCTCTTTGGAAAGTCACCAGAGCGCCGTTTAAAGTGCCAAACATAAGGCCCAAGAGCCAGAATCACTCCAATTGGAAAGCTTTGGAAAATGTGAAGGAGTGCACAGAATTTGAACTTTTAATTGTATTTTCAATTGATTTACAGCTCTGATTCTATTGATAAAGACCTCCTCGGTTGCCATTCATACTACAGCAAATAAATAGGTTATAGATAAATAATTGAAAGACAAGAGAGAAGTTCCTGGTTTTCCCAGTATCAACTATATCTGCTATAGAATGTTTTTTATACCTTTATCATGTCGAAAACTGAGATGTTCTTTAGAATCCCACTTCTTTTTCTTATATTGAGACATGTCAGGGATTATGCATTCAGCTAAATGTATTTACACTGACAGAGAGGGGTGTTTCGCTGGTCTGGCTAACTTAAGGCTGACGATGTTAAATTAGTTTGACATCCCTGGACGATAGCCTTAGAACATAAAAATTAACGGACACTGTTGAATTTGTTCACATTTGTTCATAAAAAATACAAAAAGAAAAAAGTCCACAAAGAACGGCAGCAAACAGCAGACAACAGCCATACGGAAGTCTCTGTCAGCAAGAAGCACTCCTGGCTCTGAATCTGACCTCTGACCTCTCTCGATTAGACCCACTCTGTACTCTTTACACAAGAACGTGTATTCTTGGAGCAGTGTAAGCACACTCAAGAGGGTGATTACGAACAGGAGGGGGATTTCTCCCCAGCGGCTCCACCCCTTCCCTGAGGGTCGCCACAGATAAACAGTGAAAACACACACACACACGTAAACAAAGAGGCAGCGAGTCACTGTGTGTCCCAAACAGGACACACCGTCTTTGACTCTTGGGGTCATCCTTAGCATGTCATGGCCACACACACGCACACACACACACACACACAAACATTTCTTTTTCCAGCAGTCAAACAGTGGCTTAAGATAATGCTGGAGATAAGATAGTCAGGGTGTTTGAGTTCACACCGAAAACCATAAAAAGTGTTGAGATTCTAGTTCATGTTTTATCCAAAAACACCCCGATCTTCTCTTAAAGATTTTCTTTTATTTTATATCAATACAAAGAGCTCCGCATGTTTTTTTTTAAAGGATATGTTGCCTTTTTTGTCTGTATGCGTTAGTTTATTAGGTCACTGCTTATCTTCCTCTCTCTGTCATACACTCTCCCTGTCAAAGGTTAAAACCACACGAGGATCAGAGGCTATAATTGGATAAGTTATTACCTTGACACCATTAGTCATTAGCAGAGTAAACACAGTCACATTTTCTGTGTCCACACCCTGTTGGCCGATTCCTCTCGCCCTCTTGCACACAGACCGCATTCAACAGGTATGTTAACCTACGCTGTCCCGTCCCAGTAAACTCTCAGTCCGGCTGTTTGTTTTAGTACAAAAACAAAAAAATCCCTTAAAGTCTCAGGCTACTTTAACACGGGGCCACACTAAATTAAAGAAGCAACATCGGATACGAGCATTCGGTTCAAACATTTCCCCAACGCTGTTTATTTTTAAGCAAAAAAGGGAAAAAAAAGTGCAAAGCATAATTACAATATAGAAGATCGACCACAACATTGTGCTTAGTCAGCAGTTGCATAACAGCAACATGTCCACATGTGTTGTGGCCTCTCCAGCGGGGTCATGCTACATGTACAGTATGTTTGGCAGTTACCATCGCTTGGCTTCTAAATGAAACCATTTCGTGACTTAGATAGCAATAAAGAGTATGAGCACACAATGTGCAGCTGCTTCCAGCAATTTGGATGAACATGCTGGCTTCCTTACATGCAAAGGAATCAAAGCAAAAGCAAAAATTGTTTTGGTACCTCTTTAGTGGCATAGCATCAATGTCAGGTAAAAAAAAGTTACATCTGTGAATTAAAAAAAGGCTGTAAATCTTCTAAAGTTGTCATATGAAGCATTAAATCGTGTGGAATTGCACGATCTGATCTCTTCTTTTTTGCTGAATGTGGTCCAATACCTTTATCTCACTGAGCTGCAATCACCTCCAGTGTATTTACATAGTGAATGGCCGTCAGTGTTTTGCTAATATGCCCCAAAGCCACTCCATCCCACTCAATACTGAGTGAGAATCAATAGAGCGAATGAGATTAACGCTCATATCCCTCTGCACTGTCTTATAAAAGGCTCTTCGGGCCTCGTTGGATGATGTTAATTACACTTTTAATCAATTTTCCCTTCAATTGACTCAGTAGAGTCAGGAGCACAGCGGAGGGTTTGTAAGCGCTAATTCTCCTGATTATATTAACAACAAAACGTGCTGGTCGTGGATGGATCTGTGGAAGCGGCGCTAAGGCTGCATCGTCTCTGCGTGTGCGTTAGCGTGCGAGCGAGGATGTCTTGCGCACTGGGGTAGGAATTTTCAAACATCAAAAAACTATATAACTGGCCAACTTTAAAGAGTTTCACATTCATTTAGAAATAAAATGAGAACCTGCATGTATGATACTTGGCTCTCTTAATACAGCTCTTCTTATTTCTAAACAAATTCAAACCTGTGAGCTGAAGCATGCTGGATTAATTACAGATTTTAGTGTGACTCACAGACTGTGACACCTGCCATCGCCTTCCCTCTCCACTCTTTCCTGTTGCTTTCCACTCTGACGTGTCAAATATATAAAGTAGTAAAGCAGAAAGGTCACCCAAATAAAGGCTGTCCTTGTTCATTTCTTTTAGAATGACCAAAGTCCAGCTAATATTATTATTAAAGAATAACTTTAGCTTTTTAAATTTCAACAGCTGAACACACAGTGCGCAATATCTTTAAACTTAAAAATATTCAATGTATTCCTTTGCAGGTCCTCTATTACTTCCTGCACAGTCTGCTCAAGTTTTCCATGCAAAGGGGTAAAAATAAAGACGTTTATCCTGATGGAGGATGGCAGATGAGTAACAAATGAATTGAGAGAGAAAAAGAGAAGAGAAAGGGGAAGTGGACTTGCGAACAGTTCCTCTAGTAAGAAATAAACAGACGTTGTTCTCTCTCTCTGCTCCCTCATTCATTCCTCTCTCGCTCCCACGTTCTCCTGAGATTGCTCATAAAGTTTTATGATAACCAGAACTGGGTCAGAAATAAGAAGACGGAGGCCAGTTTTACTCACGCTGGCAGGGCTAAATTGAGGCTTGAAAAGAACCAGGCCCAAATAACGACCAACACGCCTGGAAATTGCTGTCGCTGTATGACACTGCCTTAAAATCAGGCCGTACAACAAATCATCTCTGTTGAGCGCATGGCAAGGGACGATTTGTTTAAACTTGGTTTTGAAGGACGACTTTACAGAACAAGAAATGTATGAGCCCGGGGCAGCTTAGTCAGGCCCTTCTGTGGAAATCTGGTGATGCTACACGTTATGTGGCGACTGTGTAATGTGTGGTTTCAGGCTGCGTTTGGAGTCAGCACTTCTCTGTGGCAGTAAAAACCTGTTGGAATCAGGTACTGTGTGTTTTAGCGTTTCCAGCTCAGAATGAGGAGCGCGGGGAGTCATCTGAACCGCAGTGAACAATTCTCAGTCCTTGCAGAGTGTGCGTGTGGGTACACACACACAAAACACACACACACAAAACACACACAATCGTACATGCATACATGTAGGAAACACAGGCACTTACAGGTGTGGGCACACACTTCAGAGACACAATAAAACACTTGACACACTCACAGCAAGTCAATGAACATAAACGTCTGTGCACACAGGGACACAAAAAAAAGCCCTCATGAGCACCAGCACACACACAGACACACACACTCGCACACAGTCGGTACCAAAAACTGACAGCAGCTTTGACCACCCTATTCAGTCTATTCATTTTACAGATACAGACAGGCATTGTGAGACGCTACACTGTGTTTTCAAAAACACCGATGTTGGCCGGAAGGCTTAAAGACAGCACATTGTGCTGTGTTGTGACAGTGTGTAATACTTAACAATCACCTCATCATAGCCATGTCCGTGACCTGTCGGTGCCTTACACAGCCACCCAAGCAGAACCACAGTGTTGACAGCGAGTCACACCTCGTGCAGAGGGCAGCTCAGGAAAGCTCTCCTCTGCTTGTTTGTCTCTCTGTGTCTTTTTAAAAAAGAGTGGCTAAGTACTTCTGGAAGCCTTCTCCTTCTATCCCTCTAAGAGAAGTGATACACCTTTCTCTCCTCCTTGTGAGGAAGAGAACAGAACAAAAACATACATGTCTGACAGAAGAACAGGCCAGATCTTTCTTGGAAGATGTCGATCACCTTTTTTTTTCTTTTTTTTTCAGGGAAAAGGCAAACTCGGTGCATCTTTTCCACTGTGAGAAATTTCTGCATCTAATTACCACTAATTGCGAGTGCTGTATTTAGAGCATGTTACCAAGCACTATAATGGAGATTCTGCAGAAATTTCAATGGGCGACGTTAAGCAGAAAATTTAAATGGACCACCAGTGAGAAGTGATGACAAACACGCCAGCTAGATTATGGTTTTTATTCGGGTCATGCGATGGTATGCTGCGCACACGCGTCAAATAAAGTTTAGCCTCTTGTGTTCCTGTCCCAATGTGTGTGTGTGTGTGTGTGTTTCTGTGTGGGAGGAGCCCCCGACATGGCTTTGCTGAGCTGAACAGGCCCCCATGTATACAGCACGCACCTCTGCACAGCCAGGTGAGCAGCAAAAGGATGGTGACATTCCTGGCATATCTAGGAGTTTATATCGCAAGCGTGACTAGGAAGTGTGTGGAACTATCATCTTGGCGGGCCGCCTCTGATCCTGCCCTGTGGTCCTCGCACGGCAGAAGCCAGTGCACAATTACAGAAGGAAAACACACGCAGATAGCGAGGAGTCTCTATGGTGCAACGTCACATAAGACCTGTGCGTGTGTGAGTAAACTAAAGGCAGGGTGGGCCAGCGGCTCTTGGGGCTATCTGACTTAGATCACAATAACACCTTTTAACACAGCAGCACGCAGACGGGACAGCCGTCGGAAAATACAGGGAAGCCTTCTGGCTTTAGAAAAAGGCTGAGTGCATTTTAAATGCTTGATTCATCCTGCCAGACATTTAAAAGACACATCAGCATTTGGGAGTTCAAAATCGAGTCATGCAGATGTTTTCTCCCTCTCTCTTTCCTTCACATCCTATTTATCTCGCACTTTGTTGAGGTTGTTTTGCCAGGTGGGCTGCGAGTGACCCGTCTCCTCGTACCTGATCATCTATCTGGCACGCTGTCAGGTTGTGCTGCTTGGCTGCAGGGGCAAACTGGATGTGCTTCAGCCAGCTCCCGATATCTGGTTTGCTGGCATCCACGCAGAATTTTACATGGCCTGACCCATCCAAGATCTGCAAGGAATGAAAGACAGAGAGAGAGCAAGAGATCAGACTTTGATCAGTATCAGTCCAGGTTACTGTGTCCAAACACTGACTAACCACATACCTCCCACAGAGAAAAGAACTCAAATGTTAGGAGCAGGTCTCTCTCTCTCTCACTCTCTGACACACACACACACACACACACACACACACTTTTAATACTATTATTATTTGTATTGTTTTGAATATAAGACAGTGAACATTGTATATAAATGAAAAGAAAGAGAAAAAAGCACTCAGTACCAAAGTAATTTCATTATATATCTGAGACCTTTTTTAAAGCTTCAGAGGCCTGTTGAAGAATGATGTCATTACCATTTAAGTAATAAAAATGGAAATCATATTCATAAATATTCTTAAGATGCTAAGTGACGTCAATAAGTCAGTACATAAGGAAGACAAAAAAAGCCAAATAGTAGGTTCAGTAACAAATAAAAACATGAATTATTATATGCATTCATTTCATATTAGCAAAGGTTTCTTTCAGTTTCACTTTGGACCGATCGCTCTTTTATTATTTTGTTACAGAAAGGAAGAAAAAAAAAGAAATGTAAAAATCTGCCACAAAATGAAATACATCCCTAAAAAAAATCTATTTGCATTTAACCTGATTCTAGCTGACGTTTAAATTCGTTTCTTTAAATGTAGTTGCAACGAATAAATGAACCAAACGTTACTCATTTTAACTGCAACAAGAACAGTAAAAGATAATAAACTACACACACAATGGCTGTGACAATAATAAACCAGGGGGACAGCTTTGTTCCTCTCATTGGCGAAATCAAAAGAAGAGCAACAAACACAATAGAAGTGAATTATCATGCAAATCATATCATCGGTGGACTTTTATCGTTTACAAAATATTCGCGCAGCATTTCCACTCGAACGAATCGCGAGCGCTCTGACATTTTTCATGGCGCGGCTGTAAACTTTACTGGGGAACAAATCAACTGCAGGAAACCGCGAGTGATAAGAATTATGAAGACAAGCCGATTGTTGGGATGCAAAACGGAATCTCTCTCTCAGGGTCACAAATCTGTCTTTATGTCTTTGTGTAACCTGCTGCTGAATAAATATTTAGGTTACATAAAGCCCTTTGTCCGCGCTAAGAGAGCACCTAGTCGTGTATTCTGTAAACTACACCGCAGTCTTTTAACTAATAATTTAAACGTCAAACTTAGTTCAGCAAGATGGATGAGCGAATAAACTCCTAGATGTGCTTTTTCTTTCTCTGCGTGTAAGAAAAAAGAAAGTAAAAAAATAAAAATAAAACCTCAGTGAAGCAGTTTTTATTTATAAAAGTCTGCGTGTTCTTACCGTGGTGACTCGTTTTTTTTAAACTGGCGTGCCACACTTTGAGCCTCTTGGGATAATAACAGCGGTGGTTAACTGAGTAAAAAGTGACACCGTAAAAAAAAATAAAAATACAAAAACATCGCCCTGGGAATTAAAAATAAAAGTAGAAAAATATTTTTTTTGCTAATGACGACTTCTCCAGATTTTTTGACACATTAAAAGAAAAAAAAAAAAGATCGCTGTGCGGTTGTTTTTCGGTCTCTTCAGGTCTCCAATCCGCGGGACGAGTCGACTTGTCTCGCTGTCTGTGTGTGTGTCTGTGTGCTGTCTCTCACACACGGCTCGCTCGGTAAAAGTAAATCCCTTCTCACTACACTGTCTCACAGACAGCGCCGACTCCGCGCTTTTCCCCTCGCTGTCCCGCAGACGTCGGAACTGAAATCCCCTCCGGTGCATCAACTTGATCCTAACTTTTTTTTCTCTCGCAGCGGTGCGCTTCGAAAGGCTCGTCCGCTCCTCTCTTGTCACCCCTCCTGTCCTGACGCAACCAGGTGTCTTCTAGTAGCCATTCAACTTTTCATTTTTCTCTTCCTCCCCCCCTCCACCACCTCCTCCTCCTCCTCTTCAGCCAGTCGGGATGTGTCGTCTGTGTGATAGCGGAGATATTCGGGGTGGGGGGTGGAGGGGAGATTTCAGGCATCGCCTCCCTACTTTGCGCCTCGCGGATACTTGTGTGTGATGTTTCTCATTCAAAAAAAAAAAAAAAAGAGAGAAAAGAAAAAATAAAGGATGATCCATCCTTATTATAAAAAAAGAAAAAAGGAGAGGGGACTCCAAGCAGGGAGACTGTCTTTACACATGTATGTCCCCGGAAAGCAGAGACTACTCTCCGCAGTAAATTTTAAAGTGACAGAGGCCCGGGGTTGGAAAGGGTGAGCGGGGTCAGGGAGAGGTCGGGATGGGGGCTTATAAAGGGATGAACTACACACACACACACACACACACACACACACACACACACACACACACACACACACACATAGTCTGCACACTTTAATGAAGGAACATACGCATCAAAGTCGTGAATTATTATCCACCTTTTCTTAAACCTCTCGACATTTTTTTGTCGTTATTAAGAACTGAATTTAAAGGGGCTGCAGTGTGTTACACGTTTCTTATTTGAGCTATCTTATCATTCAGACTTGAGCTGTATGCCAGGGGGAACGAGTGATAATAATAATAATATTAGTAATAATAATAGTAATATAATAAACAGCCTAATTGTTCTCACACACTGAGATCTGGGAATCTCTATACGGGCCATTTGATGCCCATGCGCCACATCTTAGGACCCTGGCCTACTCACCTGCTTTCCAAAGCTCACCTCTACATACAACACAACACATTTACTTTTCAACATCAGCTTGGGTTAGTTATTTCTGAATCTGCGTTAAAAAAGAAAAGAAAAAAAATAACCTTTTAGCTCCGCGTGCGCCTTCGTGCACCTGCTTTGCCATCAAGATGAGACCAAATGTTGGACATTGTATTTCTTGAGTGTGTGTGTGTTTTAATCTCTCAGTTTAAAGCTGAAACTGATACCGTGAACAATCTGACAAGGGTAGAGAATAACACAGAAACGTCCTTGTTGTCAGTGAGCGGAGTTTATTAGGCAGCTTATAAAGCCAGAGAGAGCGGGGCTTTGGCTGATGAGAGCAGATGATGATGGATAACTCCTTACACTGTGACATTGACCTTCCATCCCAGATAATACCCATTGTTTTGCGAAATCGCGGAGCAAATGTGCAGGAAGGACAGGAAAAATCATGTGTAAATAAGGCAGGACCCGGCCACCGATTCCCATCGTCTCGCGCGCCTTGAGAACCGAGGAGAGACCCCGGTCCGCCCGGTCATTGATTTCCTGCCTCTCCTCGACTTGTCCATTGTTGGAACCCTTTTTAATTTAGCCATAAATTGGGAAAGCTCAAGTCGAATGAGCTGTTCTATTTTCTTCCTGTCAGGATGAGGGATTTGTTTTATGATGCATTGTGTATTAAATACAAGTAATCTGGGAAAGTGATTGCTTCACAGCCTCTCCGAGTCCTGATCGAGGATCCTGATAGAGAGAGAAGTGCGAGGGGTTTTGTGAAAAGGAGGAAATGTGAGAAAAAGAGGATAAACTCTCGGGGTTTGTGGTATCACCGGGGGTAAATTGGGGTAACGGTGGTATGACCCCCGCACCAACCCCCTCTCACACACAGACCCACCTACCAACCCACTCCCCATCTCCATGCACGGGCACGTGAAGGAAAAGCTACAATTCTTTTTCCAGTCAGGAGATGGCGTGCTCAGCTGAACTGAACTTCACTAAAGAAGTGTGAGTGGAGACTTGAGAGTTAAAAAAAACTAATTAGGTGATTCGATTTGTTGCTGCTGTCAAGTGAGCTAAACCCAGCACGGACTTTTGTCATTTCATAATAAAATCCCGCACGACACAAACAAATTCAGAATAAAACCCTGCACATTTGTGACGTATAATTTGGTGATTTGAATGTCTATTTATGACAGCGCTGAGCAGCTGCACTGCGTCATCTCTACACACACGAGCGATCTAAGTTTGTGTGGATATTTTAGCAAAGGGAAAACAGACTCCAGCTGTCACGCGACAAAGTAATAACACAATAAAAAATCTATTACAAATAATAATAAAAAAAAGTGCCCAGCAACGAGCCTACTTTGCTATAAGTCTACTTTTTTTTGTTGACTTTCAATCTTGTGCGCAAAACATCTACACAACAAGGCGTGTAGATGCTAGGTGGGCGATGAAAGATGTGTACGACTTGAATATATAATCACCTGAACGAGCTGCCATAAAAAGCTCTCGAGTCCGCGCTGAACAGACCGATGGGGGTGAATTTAAAACACTTGTTCCTTTAATAAACCGCGAGAATGATTTGCGAGTCGTTGCTCTAATTTATATTTTGTTTGCCGTAAACGCCGTTCTGATGTGCCCGGATTTAATAGACCCGTTTTATCAGAATTATTTCCACGCCTTTGTCATAATGATTGTGACAAACGGTGGGATGGCGAGGTGGAAAAGCTGTTTATCAACAAATTACAAACCAAACACACGCAGGCTTCAGGGTATGTTAGTTCCGACTATATCATGCAACACAGCGTTTCATACTTATTTGATTGGGGAGGATTAAAACGTACAGCATCCGGATAATGTTTAAAGTGCTGTGAAATTCTTGAAAAGGAGTCTCAAATTGCTCAAACAGGCCCCTTTCTTTGCTTGCGGCTTTCTTGTTTGTTTTTAGGAGTTCGGTCACGCAAAGACAAATTCACACATGCATGTAGACACTTTTTATTTGTTTATAAGATCAATCAGCTTCATATATTATCTGAGATTCGGCTTCATGAGCTAACACACTTCCTTCTTCTTCTTAAAAAATCCATTAAATATCTTTTAAGCATTTTCTTCTATTTAGAAAAAAAAAGAAAAGTGATTTAAGTTTCGGTGCTCTGCAAAGTCAGATGGGACATGCTGGAGAAGAGGGGGGGATTCCCGTGTGGGTTGCAAACTGACTCCAGCAGCAAGCGAACTTGGAGAGCCTATACCCGCTGCAGCCGAGGGGCCACATGGAAACACTGGGAAGGCCTGTGTGGTGCATTCCAGCACATCCTTCAGGAGAGAGCGAGAGAGAGGGGAGAGAAAGAAAATATCGCGGCCAAATCCACATGAAATAGTTCCACTGTTCATGACGAGACCTCCTATTGACACGGCGAAAAGCTGCATTAAGTCTCCATCGTGACTTTATATACACCCACACACACACACGCCCACCCCCACCCACACACACACACACAACCATCTTTTCCCCTCGCTTTTTATTTCTGCCTAAATGTGGGGCGATTCAATCAAGTGGTTAAAAAAAGTCACCCGGGGCTCAAAGAGACGTCAGGCTCCACAACACTCTGCGGCTTTGTCTTTTAATTAGCGCATTCATCAGGCAATAGGTGCGCGCAGGAGAATGAGTGGCGCAGTTTCAAGAGTCTTTATTAATAGAGGATGTGCACGGTGCCAATTAGCATTAAAACACGGCGAAGGAAATGAAAGGAGAAAATGTAAATAAAATTTTTTCCTTGGGCCTGGAAGTAGGCCCGTTGTGAGCGGCGTGTTAATCTCCACCTCAGTAATTTGGTTCTGCGGGAGAAGACAGAAGCCCTGCTGCTGTGCCCTGCACTTCATAAATCACTGCTTTATGTGGACAAGGTCAGCACCCTCCCTCCTCCACACCCCCACCTCCATCTCTCTCTACTGGCCCCTCCCGGACCCTCCGCCATGTTTACCCGGCCGCCCGGGGGCTCTCAGGACCAGACCGGCTCACTTCTAATTACTTTGGATTATTTTCATTTGCCGGGGGTCAGGCAGGCATTCCGGCAGAGAGAGCGAGGGATGATTTCTTGACAAATTCTGCGGCCTGCGAGGAACAAGCCCGGTGTGTTTGCTGAATTAGCACATGGTCTTTTTCGCTTTGGCACCGTCTTTGCTTCTCTTTGAGCTCATAATCCAGGGCGCACTCTTTTTTCTCCTTTTTTTTAAGAGTAGAGGATTCTTTCATTTGTGTCCTTGTGGGTGGGTGTATTTTTTAATCGTTTTGAAGTCGACACTTTAAAGTTTGAAAGTGTCAAAACTGGGAAGTAACACCAAGCCTCATGCCCTGAGTGACCCACTCAGTGACACGATGCCCGACTGAGTGGGATTACTCGCGGATTTCTCTGTCGAAGCATTAAATGAAAGAAAAATCATTTCCAAAATGCAAAAATAACAGAATTACCACAAAACGTGAAAAAAACAAACAAACTGAGAGGCAATCTCTGCTGCAGAAGCTGAAGTGATACAAGGGACAGTAAGGGACTAAACTGTTTCAGACAATCTGAGGAGAGGGCGAATGTGAGATTAGATAAGATGCAAAGCTAACTGGGTTTAGGCAACCTGATGGTGTTGTCTGAAGGAAGCAATGGCGGCCTAAGTGACTTGAGAGTCTGTCAGGCGGAAGAGAAGTGGAGACGGGGCTGAGGGCTGGCAGTGATGTACACAAAGTAGTACAGATTGTGGTAATCACAGACACTTCCTCCACAGAGCCTCGGCATATAGGGACACACTGTATTTGGGCTATTGGGTGTGATAAAGCTGCACAAGTGTCAAAGGTCAGGTTTGTGAAACATAAATTCAGTGGGCACACAGCTCCCATACGCATTGGACAGACTGGAAACTTAAACACCTCCCCACCACCTCCACCTTCAGCCTCAGTGGAGAAGGTGGGGGGAGGTAATTAGAGCATGTTGCCTTTTGCCGCAGGGAGAACAAATTGGCTCTAAAACGCTCATAGATATCATCTTTAAAAGAGGCTTTTTATGTACAAGAGGTAAAAGTGGTATGGAACTGAACACGGCACTTCAGATGTCCAAGTGTCACACATTCATTACATTTATTGAGCTCTCTTCTCACGTTTAAAGTCAGGACTCAGCTGTAACACTGTGACAAGCTGCCTTTGACACACCGTGTCCAATTGGAAGGCTAATATTTTAATGTTGGTGGATATCAGACAAGAACGTTACAGCTTTTCGCTGCGACCGAAGAAAATGATCCCGGCAGCCTTGTGATAGCAGCTAACTTGATTCTGAACAGGAAACAACTGAAAATAGGTTGATACTTCTCAGAAATCTAAATAAAAAAAAACAGCAGCAGATCAAACACAGGCACTCTGTTTCTTCTGCGTATTCGCTTTTATTGGAAGTTTTTTTTTCTCAAACTGAAGGGGGGGGGGAGCGCTTGTTGTGTCGTAGAGAAAAAACAGAGGGGAACATGAGTGTATAATGGCTATTTTTATATTCAACTTTGCAAGTAGTCAAAACTGAAAAGTGAGAAAGGAGGAAAGTATTCTTGTGTAAGCAGACTG